TTATCAAAATAGCCCTTCTACTCATATCTGTTTATAAAATACTAGCGACCCGCCCTCGCTTCGCTTCCGGAACATTTAAAAACACATGAAAAAAAAAAAAAAAAAAAAAAAAAAAAAAATATGATCAGCATTCGTATCAGGTTTAGAAAATCAATATAGTCAGCGATTTCCGTTCTTGATTTTCTAAATATACTGATGTTTCTCTTTTTATGAAAATGCATAAGAATTGATAGAAAACTAACTGTACTTTAAATGACTTTCAACATTTTTAAATTTGAGATGAAGGCTAGCCATAAAATTTATATAACTATTTCGAAGAGCTGGTTTTTCGAATTAATTATTCTTTTTATTTTTATTACTTATTTTTACTCTTCGATCAACAATAGTAACTGTTGATCGAAGTTTTTACTTATTTTTTTTAAGTTTCAGAAATTTTATTTCGAATAAAGTGGCAACAACAGAATGATAGCTACACTAACAAAATACTAAAATAGTAAAAATATTAACTGTTTCCTTCGGTCGGTCAGATAACCATCTCAAATTCCGTTATAGTAAATAGCATGTCCATAGATCCTTCACAAGGCTGCACGTAGTCAAGTCTCTCGACACAACTGTCCTACAACTAACCGACGACATGGCGCACGCTCTAGTTTCTACATTCTACATTTTCGGACATACAAACGAGTTTCAACATGGTTTGTTATAATTCAAAAATAATCCTACCTAAAATTTACCAGACATCATCCAGAGAAGAATAATGGAAGGAGATCACGACCCCCAGACGTGAGGAATGCGACTCAGGGAGGAGGAAAACATACCTATCCTCTCCAAAATTTATAAATATAGACTGATTTAATTTTTTCTGAGTTATGGCTTCATTACTTCTTACTAAGTAACTATTAAGTATCTAACTAACATTTGGACCGTAGGTTAGTCGAGCAATTTAACCCGCTCGGTGGATGATCTTTCCTTCATCGTTTACCCCCAAAAACACAATCTAACTAGATCTGTGTATCATAGTCTTTATCTCTTTGCTTGCTAGCGCACTGTCAATGCAAAACCTAAAAGACAGACCAGTTTCTAATAATTCAAAACTTCAGTTTTTGTCTGACAAGGTCGAAACCAACAGTTACAATAAAAAGGCAAGTAATCCGTGTCTATGGCAATAAATATTTGAAAACCGGCGTAAATGAATACTACTATAATTTAATTAAATACATTATAGACTAATTTTAATCTGGTCCTTTTCTGTGATATCCCAACGTTTTTACATAAAATCTTCATGAATGACATTGAAACTTATACAATCCTATACAAACAAAATAACGTATTTCTGAATCGCGATTCAAATAAATAGAATTCAATAATTGCTTACCGACATTTCGACTCTGAATTCTAATGAACACAAATATTAACGTCTGCATAATTGGCTGCAATTTTATGTATATTAGAATACGGATTACATTTTTACTCGCTAACATAATATAGAAGTGGGTTAAACATTGCATAGTATTGCGGCGAACCAGTGAAGCGCGAATAAAACGCAGTCTTTACGATCCGTCGCCAAACGAATACGCTCTATTTATTCAATTTAACTTTTTTCTAAGCAACGCGCACTGAAATGAAATCGCTATTGAATTATTAACCACGAATATTGAGTATTATTATTATTTGGTGGTAGGACCTCTTGTGAGTCCGCGTGGGTGGGTACCACCACCCTACCTATTTCTGCCGTGAAGCAGTAGTGCGTTTCGGTTTGACGGGTAGGGCAGCCGTTGTAACTATACTTGAGACCTTAGAACTTATATCTCAGGATGGGCGGCGCATTTACGTTGTAGATGTCTATGGGCTCCAGTAACCACTTAACACCAGGTGGGCTGTGAGCTCGTCCACCCAACTAAGCAATAAAAAAAAAATTAAATGACAAACACAAACAATGTGGCTATGTTTAAGGTATATAATATTATTTACGAAATTGCGAGAATTTATCAATGTTTCATAATATCAAATTTTAGCACTGCTCCTATTACGTAAACTCCTAATGAAAGCACGAATAAGTTTAAAATTTTATCTGAACACGTAAAACCTTTTTCGCTGAGTATTAAATTTAACTTGAAACATAAGTTTGACTAAATGAATAATTCCATACTGTGGAACAGCGCAAACCTCATAATAAAGCAGCCAGCATACCAGTCACTTTAAGCTTAGTTTCACGTCCTTCACTTACAATTGCGTAAGTTTCAAAATTAACAAGGGACTTCTGAGCACGTCTCTCTGAACCCGACGCTAACAGACAATTTCATTTGCATCATAATGCAGAGACTGTTTCGTGTCAATGTCAACGTAGTGTAGTATTTTATTCTTTTTAGAAAATATATTAATATGTGTAAATAGATTGATCTACCTGCTTTTAGCGAACTTCTAAAAAGGAGGAGTTTCTCAATCTGACTTTTTTTTGTGTGTAGTAAGTAACCTTAGAACTTTCTTCAAGGTGAACAGCTTTTGATGTTTCGTTTTTATACGAAAGATTTTACTTTTCATGGTTACGTTTAAATTTTATCAAGAGCTCAATCGGTATTTTTCGAGTTATTCTCATTGATATATTGATAGAATTCTCCTTTTATTTAGAATACGTCGGTTTTCTTGTTTGTTAAAATTTCATTTAATATTATGTGATTTCCATAACATGTAATAAAACATTCCATAAATACGTACCTGACACGTGTTCTCAAACGACATACGCAATTAAGGAATGACATTAATAACATTAATGTTAAACCTGTAAAACTTGTTTTAGATTGTTACCTACTTGTGGTAGGGGCGTATTAGAAATCCCACGAAAATCTAAATAATGAGGCATTCTGTATTGCTGGCACGCGAAGTTATCACCATCCTGCATATTTCGGTCGTAAACCAATCATCTATTCTGGTTTGAAGAGTCAGACTTCTATCTATTCTAACTTAATGTATACTTACAGCCTCTAAACGTACACCTACATTAGGCTTTATACATATGTATGTAAAACTCAATAACGTTAAATTACATATTACGATATTACTTATTTGCTCTCCATAGACATCGATCTTAAAACTTAATGACGCAAATTTTCTATTTAATTAAATGAATTAAAACATTTTAATAAAACTTTCGAGAACTTTAGTTTTAGAGTAAAACGAAAGCAGCGTACACAGCTTTCACCGAAAGCCCTAAGAACAGTGAAAGCCATTATTTGAGAAACCACATTGTCTGCGTCGTGTCGTAGAGTTTAAACACGTTATTACACCGAACAATATACACTAGATAATTTACAAAGTTAACACGTAAAGTACACTAGCGTAAAACTTTTACTTTTAGGTGACATGAGCTGAAACTTTAATAATGTTACTTATAGTTAGTTACATTGCAAAGGTAGACGTGACTTAGCGAGTAAGGATTTTAGTTAATAATATTACCTAGTCAGGTCATAAATTCTGTCACATGTTTAATGTAAAATAATTGAAACAAGTTTATTCATTATGTAACCATTCATATACCAAAATGAACTTAACAAAACATTGATTCTTATGACACTAAAGTTTATTCAAAATGACCTCCGTGACTTTGAATACAGGCCTTCAATCTGCGCGGCCAGTCGTCTATCGCAGCACGAACGAGGTCCATGTCAATATCGGCGGCTGCCTTAATCAAGGATGTCTTGAGTGACTCCAAATTGGGATGAGGCTTTGAGCACGCCTTTTCCTCCAAGTGTTGCCATATCTTGTAATCTAACGGATTCAAATCTGGACTGGAGGAGGGCCAGTCTTCGTGCCGGATGAAGTCGATTTCACGCGCCGCCAGCCAGTCTTGTGTGCTCTTCGCTCTATGAGCTGGCGCCGAATCTTGTTGGAATACCCAGTGCCTGTTATTGAACATGGTATGAGAAACAGGTTCCACAAGGTTCGTCAGGACTGTATTTTGATACACAACTGCATTCGTTTTTACACCTTTCTCACAAAAATGTACCTCTGTTAAGCCCCAATAAGAAACTCCCAACCATACCATGAGCGAGGATGGAAAATGACCTCGTTGGACACGCGGAATGCGGTTGCTCGCTTCTTCACTACTGTGTGCGTACACCTTATCATTTTATTTGTTGTAGCTCTCTTCTACGGTAAAAAATTTTTCATCCGAAAAAAGAATTTCCCGATATTTTTTTCCCGCGTACCGCTTCAACAAAGCGTGGCATCTCTTCAGTCTCAGGTCCATTAGACGAGCATTCACACGATGTCCTGTTTTTCTTCGATATGCCCGAAGCCCTAAGTCTTCATTTAACACCCTCTTCACCGTGGTTCTGCTTAACCCCATCTGAAGGGCCAACAGTTTCTGCTTACGTTTGGGATTTCCTTGAATTCGCGCCTTCACAGCTTTTATCACTGCTGGAGTCCTAACAGACCGAGGGCGACCACTTCTTGACCTGTCATCTACACTAGAGTCTTCATTGTATCGTTTGATGATACGATAAACGAATCTTTTGGTTATATTCAAATTTTTCAGTATGTTGAAAATTTGAATTGGCAACGATGCAACGCAATAACCGCAACACGGTCTTCTTTAAGCGTCCACTGCATATTTGAAAATGAGTAAAATTCTAAAAGTATACATTTTTATTTTCATGAACAATTCGAAATTCGAATTCAATAAACTTTTTTGTGGCCAGCATTCCAAAAGAAAAGTTTTTACTGTGTGACAATCAATACTTATGACCTGACTAGTTATAATCATGTCTTATTTTAATAATTGTCTGTGAACGATATACATGTAATTATTTTATTAGGTTTTTGCATGTTCTAGATATTATATTATGAAGGTGCAGTTTTAAGTCGACTTTAATCTTTTCGTTTGACAATTTCCGATTTTCTACGAGTAGTTTCGTGATCGGGGACAGCTAAGACGTTTCAATGTTGCGCTCGAATGCGAGGAAACTACTTTAGAATCGCCTCATTGTTCTTTCTTTTTTCAGGCTGGGAACTAAAAGGACTCCATTGCTACAAATTCTTCAATATCAGGCACTCTTGGGAAAAAGCTGCAGAGCTATGTCGGAGGTATTTAATCTAATAGAATAGTTTTTTTTGTTATATTTTTAATTTAAACGTTATCCAGAGTAAGAAAAAATGTGAATATGATAAATCTGAATGGTTTATCTAATGATGCATCCAGAAATAACTGTGTTAAAATGGCGGTCAAGTTAAGGTGGAAGATTATTTTCAAATAACATGTAAAGAATAAACTAATGGATCATGACGTCACCGAGAATCGGACGTGAACGCGCGATAAACACAATAAGATGCTCCGACTTCATATTAATTTTTTCTGATACCCATTTTTTGAATAAGAGTCATCGCGTTTTCATAATACTCAATTCGGTGCTATTTTCAACAACAACAAAGAATCTTTTATGTTGTTCTGTTTAAATAAATATGTAAAAATGTAATTCCATTTACATTGTAGCTCAAGTATTTAATAATATAAATGACTTAAATGACTCTTCTCCTTATTATAATCCTTATATGCTTTAGGTACGGCAGCGAATTAATGGTAGTAGACAGCTACACAGAAAACAACATGACTGCAAGCATGGTGCCGGCTAGTCCTAGTAATAACCATTACTGGCTCGGGCTTGCCTCAGTTGATGATCTCCGAACGAATACACTTGAATCTGCTGCCGGTGCATTAGTTTCACAATACGCTGGATTCTGGGACTTAAAACAGCCAAACCCAAAAGAAGGCGAATGCGTAGATGTTCTTGTCACATCGGATAGTCAATCTTGGGAGCTAACAACTTGTGAAACATTATTGCCCTTCATGTGCAAAGCCAACGCCTGTCCAGCCGGTAAGTGCTAATGAATCGAATTTTCACCCATACTAACATAAATTGAAACAATAGCGGTATATCCATACTGTCCTTGTTGCAGGAACCTTCCATTGTTCTAACGGAAGATGTATCAACGCAGCCTTCAAATGCGACAAACAAGATGATTGCGGTGATGCATCAGACGAAATGGACTGCGCTTCTGAGTGTCACTTTTATATGGCGAGCAGCGGAGATGTAGTGGAATCCCCTAATTATCCACACAAATACCCATCATTTAGCGAATGCAAATGGACTCTTGAAGGGCCTCAAGGACAAAATATTCTTTTACAATTCCAAGAGTTTGAAACAGAAAAATCCTTTGATACAGTCCAAATTCTTGTCGGCGGTAGGACCGAAGAAAAATCAGTAAATTTAGCCACCCTATCAGGAAAACAAGATTTATCTAACAAACTCTATGTATCTGCATCTAATTTCATGATTATTAAATTTAGCACAGATGGTTCTGTAGAAAAGAAGGGATTCAGGGCATCATGGAAAACAGAATCTTCTAATTGTGGTGGTGTCCTTCGAGCTACACCTCAAGGCCAAGTTTTGACGTCACCGGGCTATCCAAATGGGTACCCAGGTGGCTTAGAATGCATGTATATAATCGAAGCCCAACCGGGCCGAATTGTTTCATTAGAGATTGAAGATTTAGAACTAGGAATGAACAGAGATTACATCGTTGTAAAAGACGGTAATACCCCTTCCAGTCCAGTGTTGGCTAGATTGACGGGTCCTGGTGAAGACAATGAAAAAGTTGTGATTTCGACAACAAATCATCTTTACTTGTACTTTAGAACAAGCCTGGGAGATTCTAAAAAAGGATTTAATATGCGATATTCGCAAGGCTGCAAAGCTACCATCATTGCGGCTAATGGTACATTCACATCCCCGGCATACGGTCTAACAAATTATCCCAACAACCAGGAATGTCTCTACAGAATTAAGAATCCTACTGGAGGTCCACTTTCGTTGAAGTTTGATGAATTTAATATTCATTCTTCTGATGTAGTACAAGTTTTCGATGGTTCGAGTACAAATGGACTCAGGTTACATTCTGAAAATGGATTTACTATAAAACCTAGAATAACTTTGACTGCTTCCAGTGGTGAAATGTTAATACGATTTGTATCTGATGCATTGCATAATGGAAAAGGATGGAAGGCGACGTTTTCTGCAGGTACATTTCAGTAAAAACATGCTGTATTTTTTTCAATATTGTGTGTATTACGTGTATCCTATATATGTAGTTATCAGACCTTACAAAACATGTGGTCATGTTATCTATAATGAAAAGGTTAATATGATATGTCTTCTTACAAGTTCGCCAGGAAAATTTACAAAGCGGCGTAATATTTTCTTTTCCCTACCTATTCGCTGGTATCCTAAAGAGCTATTCCAGCTACACACTGGCTCTATCAAGAGTAGTGTTTAGCGGAATCTACCACCGGATCGGAATCGATACCCACTGAGAAGATCCGGGAAGCAACTCAGTGGGTTGTATGTGTACTGGGAATGGACTATATCTATGGAAGCGTAATGACTAGAGATTCTAGAGACATGGCGTATTTCGGCGACATCGAGTTGCCTATTTCTACTGTGAAGCCATCACACGTTCCGGCTTTGCAACTTCGGTATTCATCAACGCTAGGCTGGCTGTATTTCTATCTCCTTATAGGGACCGTTAAGCCTAGGAAAAAAATGCAAAAAAAAAAAAAAATGGTACTAAAACATAAGGTTATTTTACAGATTGCCCACCACTAAAATCTGGTATAGGAGCACTAGCATCAAATAGAGATACTGCTTTCGGAACAGTCATAACGTTCTCTTGTCCAATTGGTCAGGAATTTGCTACAGGAAAACCCAGACTTACAACTAAATGCTTGGACGGCGGAAATTGGTCAACGACGTACATACCTAGCTGTCAAGGTAACTACGACTAACGACTATTTATTACAAAATCGCATTATAAATACGTCAATTTAGAGACAAATATCTCATTTACGCGGTGTTTTAAAATGTGTTGTTAAATTATTTTTGTTATTTCCAGAGGTATATTGTGGTCCAGTGCCGCAAATTGACAATGGTTTTTCAATCGGTTCCACAAACGTGACATATCGTGGTATTGCCACTTATCAATGTTATGCAGGTTTTGCTTTTCCAACTGGTCAACCAATTGAAAGAATATCATGTTTATCCGACGGACGATGGGAGCGAACCCCCACTTGTTTGGGTACTTATAATTAACTTAAAAATAACTGTATTTATGTTGAGTTCAAATCTAAAATTTTATCTATTATTTACAGCTTCTCAGTGCGTAGCCTTGCCTGACGTACCGCACGCGAATGTAACGATTCTTAACGGTGGCGGTCGTAGCTACGGTACAATCGTCCGTTACGAATGCGAACCAGGCTATGTTAGATCTGGTCAACCAGTACTTCTCTGCATGAGCAACGGCACGTGGTCTGGAGACGTACCGACCTGTACAAAAACCATATGTTCTAAATTTCCCGAAATAAAAAACGGTTATATCGTAGATCAGAGCAGAACTTACATGTTTGGCGACGAAGCACGCGCGCAGTGTTTTAAAGGTAATATTTAGCATTCATCAGGATTAATACATAAATTCAAGTTACGTACAGATTTAAAATGTCACTTTTCAATTAGGTTACAAATTAAATGGACCTAGCATACTAAGATGTGGGGCAAACCAAGAATTTGATCAAGCACCAACATGTGAAGATATAAATGAGTGCTTGAGTTCGCAATGCGACTCAGTCTCAACTGAATGTAAAAACACTCAAGGAGGATTCTTCTGTCCCTGTCGAACTGGTTTTGCACCCAGTTTAGATTGTAGACCTGTTGGCGATTTAGGACTTATAAATGGAGCCATTCCTGACGAGTCAATTTCGACATCAACACCAGAACCAGGATATAACAGTGGTGTAAGTTAAAACTGACACTATTTCAAATGATTCAATAGTACACTTCCCAAATCATATTTAGATTTCCTTATTTGTCAGATGGTGCGCCTTAACAACGGAGGTGGATGGTGTGGTAACAATCTCGAAGCCGGCGCGAATTGGATTTTAATCGATTTGAGAGCTCCAACAATTGTCCGAGGATTTAGAACGATGAGTGTAATGCGAGCTGATGGCAATATTGCATTTACTTCTGCCATACGCATACAGTACACAAATGATCTTACCGATGTTTTCAAAGATTACACTAATCCTGACGGGACTGCTGTAGAATTCCGTATTTTAGAACCAACTCTATCTGTGCTTAATCTCCCAGTACCTATAGAAGCACAATACGTCAAATTCAAAATTCAAGATTATGTTGGAGCACCATGTTTGAAATTAGAAGTTATGGGATGTGCGAGATTAGACTGTTTAGATATTAATGAATGCAGCGAAAACAACGGAGGATGTGAGCAAAAGTGCTTAAACACGTAAGTAACAGATATTTAGAATATCATACCGGATCGAGGATAAGTTAATTGAACATATTAATACATATACTTCAATTTGCAGGCCCGGCAACTTTTCATGCGCGTGTAATCTTGGATTTGAATTATATTCTTCCAATGGAACAGCAGGCTTCTCAATTGAACTATCTGAAACCGGTGAAAGAGACGGCGATACATATCAAAGGAATAAATCTTGCGTACCGGTCATGTGCCCCCCACTTGCACCACCTGAAAACGGACAACTTTTATCGACCAAAAAATCTTATCACTTCGGTGATACAGTTCATTTCCAATGTGACTTTGGATATGTAATGTCAGGATTTTCGACATTACAATGCACCTCAAGTGGAACTTGGAATGGAACTGCTCCTGAATGTCAATGTAAGTTTAAAAACGTTCTATTTGTAAATCACAAATTTAGGTGCATACATGACTATTGTTATTGTTATTATATACCTAGGTTTAGGATATCAACTAATTACTTAACAATTTCAGATGCTCGATGTGTAACTTTATCTGACGACAAAAACGATGGCTTAAGAGTCATAAGGGATGATCCTGAAAGTGTTTTAGTACCATACAGAGACAATGTTACAATCACCTGCACTTCTCCTGGGAGACACCTGAGAAATACTCTCACATCTTCTTTTAGACAGTGTGTTTACGATCCCAAGCCTGTAAGTAATTGAACCCAAAAGAACTTGAAGCCTGTAAACATTTGTATACATATCAAAATTTATATGTTCGAAATTATTGATTTTAGGGTCTTCCTGATTATTGGTTTTCTGGGGCACAACCACAATGTCCAAGACAAGACTGCGGTATCCCAATGCCAACACCTGGTGCAGAATATGGGCAATATCTTGATACTAAATATCAAAGCTCCTTTTTCTTTGGTTGCCAAAACACTTTCAAACTTGCTGGGCAGACAAGTAAACACGATAACGTTGTAAGATGTCAGGCAAATGGCATATGGGACTTCGGAGATTTGAGATGCGAAGGACCAGTTTGTGAAGACCCAGGTAGACCTGCTGACGGCTACCAAATTGCAAGAAGCTATGAGCAAGGATCTGAAGTACTATTCGGTTGTTCGAGACCTGGGTATATCCTAATAAATCCGAGACCTATAACATGCATGCGTGAACCGGAATGTAAAGTTATCAAACCTCTGGGTCTTGCTTCGGGTAGAATACCTGACTCCGCTATCAATGCTACATCAGAAAGACCTAACTATGAAGCTAAAAATATTCGACTCAATTCGGTTACGGGTTGGTGTGGTAAGCAAGAAGCTTTTACGTATGTGAGTGTAGATCTTGGTAAAGTTTACAGAGTCAAAGCTATCCTTGTAAAGGGTGTAGTAACTTCCGATATTGTGGGACGTCCTACTGAAATAAGATTTTTCTATAAACAAGCCGAAAACGAAAACTATGTTGTTTATTTCCCGAATTTCAATTTAACCATGAGAGATCCTGGAAACTATGGAGAACTAGCAATGATTACATTGCCAAAATTTGTCCAAGCAAGGTTTGTAATCTTGGGCATAGTCAGTTTCATGGACAACGCTTGTCTCAAATTTGAAGTAATGGGATGTGAAGAACCAAGCACAGAACCCTTATTGGGTTACGACTATGGTTATTCTCCTTGTGTTGGTGAGTAATCGCAAAAAAATTATATCGATCATTTTTACCTCTTTTTTTAAACATACTTAAACTACATCTTGATTTACAGATAATGAACCACCAGTATTCCAGAACTGCCCTCAACAACCTATTGTAGTCCAAACCGATGTTAACGGTGGCTTACTTGCTGTAAACTTCACTGAACCTACTGCTATTGACAATTCTGGTGCAATAGCTCGATTAGAAGTTACACCCCAGCATTTTAAAACACCAATTCAAGTATTCCATAATATGGTAGTTCGATATGTGGCATTCGATTTTGATGGAAATGTTGCAATTTGTGAAGTAAACATTACTGTACCTGATTACACCCCTCCTAAATTAAGCTGCCCCCAAAGCTATGTTATAGAGCTGGTGGATAAACAAGACAGTTACGCTGTTAATTTCAACGAAACGAGAAGAAGGATCAACGCAACTGATTCATCCGGAGAAGTTTACTTGAAGTTCATTCCTGAAAGAGCAGTTATTCCCATTCGAGGATACGAAAACGTCACAGTTATCGCCTCAGACAAATATGGCAACAAAGCTCAATGTCACTTCCAAGTATCAGTGCAAGCTACTCCGTGCGTAGACTGGGAACTAATGCCTCCAGCAAACGGTGCAATGAATTGTATTCCGGGTGACAGGGGTATACAGTGTATAGCCACTTGCAGTCCAGGTTTTAGATTCACAGATGGAGAGCCTGTCAAGACTTTTGTCTGCGAAACGAAACGTCAATGGGTCCCATCTGCTGTTGTTCCAGATTGCGTTTCTGAAAGTACGTATTAAATATATATTAAATAAAAAAGCCGATAAACATTCAGTCAACTAATAATAAGCTTCCCTGCTTATTTTAATTTTAATGTATTTTTTTACAGACACTCAACAAGCTGCTTATCACGTCGTAGCCGGTGTACAGTACAGAGCTCTGGGTGCAGTTTCAAGTGCTTGTTTACCTCAATACAAAGATCTACTAGCACAATATGATAACATTCTAAACGAAAGGCTGTCACAACGTTGCTCAGCAGTTAATGTTAACATTAACGTAACTTTCGTTAAAGCTATGCCAAGTTTATTAGATGAAAATGTGGTAAAAATGGACTTTGTCTTGGCCATTACACCAGCCATTAGACAAACTCAGCTATATGATTTGTGTGGCTCAACACTAAATCTCATCTTTGATCTGTCTGTTCCATACGCAAGTGCACTTATTGAACCAGTACTAAATGTTTCATCCATCGGAAATCAATGTCCACCACTGAGAGCAATCAGAAGCTCAATAACAAGAGGATTTACTTGCAGTGTTGGAGAAGTATTAAATATGGATACAAACGACGTACCTAGATGTCGTAAGTTCATCTATCACACCTAAATTTTTCATGATAATTTTCACTTATGTGTTTTAAATTGATCAATTAATTCAATCTTTCTTTGTTTTAGTACATTGTCCTGCTGGTACTTCCGCTGGAGAAAAGCAAAAGACGTGCACAATGTGTCCACAAGGATATTTCCAGAATCAAGCACGTCAAGGTTCGTGTTTGAAATGTCCTCAAGGTACATTTACTCGAGAAGAAGGCTCAAAAGATATTTCTGATTGCATACCGGTCTGCGGTTACGGTACATACTCACCAACTGGACTGGTTCCTTGCTTAGAGTGTCCCAGAAACAGTTACACTGCCGAACCTCCAGTCGGAGGCTTCAAAGACTGTCAAGCATGTCCGATAAACACATTTACCTATCAACCAGCAGCGCCAGGTCGTGACAAGTGTAGAGCAAAGTGTGCTCCAGGTACATATTCCCCAACGGGACTTGCACCCTGCTCTCAATGTCCTCGAAACTTCTACCAAAACCTTGTTGGACAAACAACTTGTATGGAATGCCCTACGAATATGAAAACAGTAGGAACAGGCGCAACAGGATTAGAAGAATGCATCCCTGTTGAATGTTCGAACAGCGCTTGCCAGCATGGAGGTCTATGTGTGCCGAAAGGACACGGTGTCCAATGCTACTGCCCAGCTGGATTTTCTGGACGCAGATGTGAAGTTGATATCGATGAATGTGCCAGTCAACCCTGCTACAACGATGGTACCTGTACTGATTTGCCTCAAGGATACAGGTGCTCGTGTCCTACTGGTTACGGCGGAATTAACTGTCAAGAAGAAAAATCTGATTGTAGAAATGATACGTGCCCAGAACGAGCTATGTGCAAAGACGAACCTGGATTCGATAACTATACTTGTTTGTGTAGATCTGGATATACTGGAATTGATTGTGATATCACAGTAAGTTCATTGCTCATGATTTTTTAATATTATTTAAAAGATTTTCCTATAATAATTCACTGGTGGAAGAACGTGTTATGAACCTGTACTAATGGGTACCTTAAACCCTTTTAAACACGATTGTTTCGTATTATACAAAACAATCGTGTTTACCTCCATACGTAAAAATAGCTGACATAGGCCTCCTTCCCCAAAATAACCTTTATTACAGTACAATTGAAACTGATTCCGTGTCTCAAGATAGATAATGTTTCTATGGGCAATTTTAAACTCTATCTTTGAGCTCTCTTTGAAATCATGAGCTGTCAGTGCTAAAAAGGTGATAATATCTCATTATTCCGTTTCTTTGCAGATCGATCCATGCACTGCTAACGGAAATCCTTGCTCAAACGGTGCAAGTTGTATTGCATTACAACAAGGACGCTTCAAGTGTGAGTGCTTACCAGGATGGGAAGGACAGCTTTGTGACATTAATACAGATGATTGTATCGAAAAGCCTTGTCTTCTTGGTGCACCTTGTACGGACTTAGTTAATGACTTTAGCTGCTCATGTCCACCAGGATTCACGGGAAAGCGTTGTCATGAAAAAATAGATCTCTGCTCAAGCGAACCATGCAAACATGGAATATGTATAGATAAACTCTTCGTTCATCAATGTATATGTGACCCTGGTTGGTCAGGACCATCGTGTGATATTAACATTAATGAATGTGTGATATCACCATGTGAGAACGGAGGTCAATGTATGGACGGTATCGACGATTTCAATTGCGTTTGCGAAACTGGTTTTACAGGAAAGAAATGTCAACACACCATCGATGATTGTTTATCAAATCCTTGTCAAAACGGTGCAACATGTATGGATCAAATCGAAGGCTTTGTTTGCAAATGCCGACCTGGATTCGTAGGTCTTCAATGCGAAACGGCCATTGATGAATGTTTGACCGAGCCATGCAACCCTACGGGAACCGAACGTTGTATAGATTTAGACAACAAATACCAATGCGTCTGTCGTGAAGGTTTCACAGGAAAAATGTGTGAAACAAACATTGATGACTGCGCTTCAAATCCTTGCTTTAATGGTGGATCGTGCACAGACGAAGTCGGTGGATACAAATGCGCCTGCCATCCAGGATGGACTGGCAAGAGATGCGAAAAAGACATCGGTAATTGCGTAAACCAACCCTGCCAAAATCATGCTAAATGTATTGACCTATTCCAAGATTATTTCTGTGTGTAAGTACAGTAAAATTTTTCCGATTACATATAATTTGATTAAAATAGGCAAGAAACAATAATGACGTATGCTTTAAACTGATTACAGATGTCCTAGTGGAACTGATGGAAAACAATGTGAAACGGCCCCGGAAAGATGTATTGGAAGCCCATGTATGCACGGCGGAAAGTGTCAAGACTTTGGATCAGGCCTTAATTGCACGTGTTCATCTGATTACACTGGAATCGGCTGTCAATATGAATTTGATGCCTGCGAAGCTGGCTTGTGCCAAAATGGAGCAACTTGCATCGACGAAGGCGAAGGATACCGTTGTATTTGCGCACCTGGATTTAAAGGACAAAATTGCGACGAAGACATTATCGATTGTAAAGAAAACTCTTGTCCACCTTCGGCAACATGCATTGACCTTCCAGGGAGATTCTATTGTCAATGTCCATTTAATCTAACGGGAGATGACTGTAGAAAAAGTAAGTCAAATTTAACACATTTTCTTATCATATTTACTACAGTTCTCAAGAGTCGTAAACATAAACTTGAAATTATACTTTCAAGGTCTAAACTCGCATTTATTATTATTTTAATGTTATTTCCGACGTTACGAATACTCCACCGTTTTCATAGTCAGGGACTACAAGGTGCTATTTGTTGACATTTAAAAATTATGCTAACTACCATCAAAATTTCTTGAAAAAAATGTAAAAGTAATTTTAATAATTTTTCAATCAATTTAATTTTGTAATATCCATTGACATTTCCTTACCTTTCAGCAATCAGTGTTGATTACGATATGTACTTCAGTGATCCCTTAAGGTCAAGCGCAGCCCAAGTGGTACCGTTTGATACCAATTCAGCAGATAGCTTAACTATAGCCATGTGGGTACAATACACACAACAAGACGAAGGCGGTGTCTTCTTCACAGCATATAGCGTAAGGTATGTATAACACCATATTAGTTATAGTTGTCGTTTTGTTGAATGAATTGAATTAACCGTATAATCAAATATCCACAGCAATTCCCACATTGCGCTTAACAGAAGACAAGTCATACAAGCACATTCAAATGGAGTTCAGGTGTCTCTATTCCCTGAACTACAAGACGTATACCTCAGTTTCGGAGAATTCGCTACGGTTAACGATGGACAATGGCACCATGTTGCGTTGGTGTGGGACGGTAGCAATGGCGGTGAACTCACATTGATTACTGAAGGACTAATTGCCAGCAAACTTGCTGGTTATGGCAGCGGTCGAACCTTGCCCCGATAGTAAGAACAAACTTTTGTTCAGTGAAAAGCCTATAATAACTTTATTAATGCTTAAATAACTCCCTTAATTTTTGCCATTTTTTACAGCATCTGGGTAACATTGGGTAAACCGCAGTCCGATAACGCAAAGGCCTATACTGAAGCCGGATTCCAAGGACATCTTACCAAGGTACAAGTCTGGAATCGAGCACTAGACGTCACTAATGAAGTTCAAAAACAAGTCCGTGACTGCAGAACGGAGCCTGTCCTTTACAGTGGTTTAACTTTGACCTGGGCTGGATATGATGACATAATTGGTGGAGTAGAACGAATCGTACCATCACATTGTGGACAAAGGGTTTGCCCTAATGGCTACAATGGTCAAAAATGTCAACAATTAGAAGTCGATAAAGAACCACCAAGAGTAGATAGATGCCCTGGTGACTTATGGGTGATTGCTAAGAATGGATCATCTATTGTCAACTGGGATGCACCCATATTTAGCGACAATGTTGGAGTGGCAAAAGTAGTAGAAAAATCTGGACATAAGCCAGGAGAGAACCTTGCTTGGGGAGCATATGACATAGCCTACATTGCATATGACGCCGTGGGTAATGCAGCGACATGCACATTTAAGATTACAGTATTATGTAAGTTACCAAATAACGTAATTGTGAAACTTCCTATTTTATAAACTCATATGAATACAATAAAAATAACAATTATTTTTTAGCGGAATTCTGTCCACCTTTACCGGATCCTCTGGGTGGTTATCAATCCTGTCGCGATTGGGGCGCAGGAGGTCAATTCAAGGTCTGCGAGATTGCTTGTCGCGATGGCTTGCGATTCTCACAGCCCGTACCTCCGTTCTTTACATGCGGCGCAGAAGGCTTTTGGAGACCAACAACTGATCCCAGTTTACCACTAATATATCCTGCTTGCTCACGTAAGAATTAAAAACACAAGTATTACTGGAAATAAAGCGTATACATCTTATGCTCTTGACATTTTACATTGGATTTATTCTGCAGCTGCTTCACCTGCTCAACGTGTCTTCAAAGTATCTATGTTGTTCCCGAGTTCTGTTCTCTGCAACGACGCTGGCCAAGCCGTACTTCGACAAAAAGTACGCAGCGCTATCAATCAACTCAATAGAGATTGGAACTTCTGCTCTTACGCAATTGATGGTACAGTACATGCTTCTTAAATTTTGATGTTTAATTTTTTTTTATTTTGAAAGTTTTTGAAATTCTTTGTTGATAGGTACTCGAGAATGCAAAGAATTGGATATTAATGTGAAATGCGATCACCGCGCCAACAGGCAGACTAGACAAGTGTCGTCCCCTCCCACAGTAACAGCTGAAGATACCTATGTTTTGGACGCTATAATTCCTGTCGAAGAGTAAGTTCCATCAGACTAAGCGTCCACACAGTTTAATCGTATATTAGAAGTTAAAAAAATACTTTAAAAAGGGAGGTGTCGGAGTAGCACTTACCTAAAACATTATCTGCTTATAGAGCACATAGTGGCATGTGTTACTAAGTACTATAGCAAATTTAAATTTTGTAAAAATTGCCTAGAAACTAAAATACATTATCATTAGAAACATTGATAGATTCTCTAGATAAAGCAATCAAAGCAATCTAGACAAAGCACTTAAATCTAATTTAAAAAAAAACTATACTATTATCAATTTATAGCACTGTAGATCATGTAAAGCATGTACTTCCATCACAATTGCATGTATTTTATTTGGCACTTAGGACACGAAGCAGTAGGGAGGGTCGACAAATTGGCGATACGTACAGCGTTGAAATATCTTTCCCGGCTGTCAAGTAAGTTGTTTGCATGCTTGTAGCACTCTCACATTCCCATAAAGAATCTTGAACGTTGCAATATTTCCTACTTACGTATATCACATATGTTAATGAAATTAATTTTCATTATTTTCGTCATATTTTTTCTGTAAGCACAACTGCTTTTTTTTTTAGCGACCCAGTAATCCACGGCGGTAATAACGAAAGGTCGACTGTGCAACGATTACTGGAGAAATTAATTCTCGAAGACGAACAATTCGACGTTAGGAATATCCTTCCGAATACCGTACCTGATCCTGCGAGCTTGGTGCTTGCTTCTGATTACGCCTGCCCTACTGGACAGGTTGTAATGGCTCCTGACTGTGGTGCGTATTAAATTCAAACTAATTTTTTTTACGTCTTACGTCAGAATATCAAGGCAAGTAGACAAAAATCTTAATATCAGAGTCAACAAGGTATATTGTGCCAGGTCTCGTCATGAATGCTTTCAATAAAATAAAATACACATGAATATTCCTTATTTTCTCATTTTCGGGTCAATCTTTGGTAAATAGCCTTGTGCAATTAAACTGGAGTGGAATGAATTGCTATGATAGCATTACATAAGTGTAGGTCTGGATTAGTCGAATATTTTGGTATCGTGGATTTATAACAGGGATAGTTAACGTTTGTGCCAGAAAAGATCTATCCGTTGACGTAATATTTGTTCTAATCAGAGCTAAACTCTGGCCGTTGTCTCGCCAGACTTTAACCCGTTAATTATGCTTTATGATCTCTTTTAGTTTCGCATACCTTTCAACGCCATAATATTTTTTAATCCCTTAAACATTCTGTAATAATGCCTGTGGCGAATTGTCGCTTACACAAAGTGCATGTTTCAATCGTTATCTGGCCACAGCGTTTAAGTGATTGTACGAAGGTCAATGATATTGTTTTGAAGGAACTTCAAATTTCCAAAACGCAATTCATGTAAAACTACCTCACACTACAATAACAACTGTTAAAAAACTGTAAAAAAAAAACACTTTTTTTTCTTCTACCAATATCTATGACAAAAATACATAAGTATTAATATTCGCTAAACTTTTCAATATTAATGCCTACGCGATAATATCTATCTAAACGATCTGAAATAGTATTTACAAACCCAAAACAAGCCCAAAAAAACTACACTCAAATCCACTTCTAATAACACAAAACAATTGTTTTCAAAATATTCTAGTCTAATACACTAGCAAGCGATACTAATATTTAATAATCATTTCAGTGGCATGCGCTGTCGGTACCTTCTTAGATTCGGCAACCGACTCGTGCAAGCCGTGCCCCATGGGAAGCTACCAATCAGAAGCTGGACAATTACAGTGTACATCCTGCCCAACGATAGCTGGCCAACCTGGAGTTACCCAAACAACAGGAGCTCGAAGCGCTGCTGACTGTAAAGGTAGCTTGGCACAAACACTTTTTAGATTAAGTGTGCATCTCTCTCAATACGAATGGGAAACCGTCGACGTCGCCCAAAGCACGTCATTACGGATCCTCCTGATCCATTAACGGTGCTTTTAGGCACCACAAGCACCGGTCACCGTCCTCGTCGAACCCTTCGCTTGCGACGAAGGGGTCGACGAGTGAATTAACCCATAGACACTGGCCACTGAGTTTCTCGCCGGATCTTCTCAGTGGGTCGTAATTCCGATCCGGTGGTAGATTCTGCGAAGCACTGCTCTTGCTAGGGTCAGTGTTAGTAACACTCCGGTTTGAGCCCCACGAGCTCACCTACATACATTAGGGTGAAGCTGAAATAGCCTCTCAAAGCTATCAGTATAGGTAGGAAAAAAAATCTGTCAAGATAAGAATCAGGTCATGTTGAAATAGATAATCAATTAGAATTTACTTTTTCAAGACTGCTTATAATATAACCAATCACATTATTTCAAATCAAATAGAAGAGCGAGGTTCATTGATTGAGATAAGTCTTTATTTGAGATGTCTCGTTCTTCTCGATTCAAATAAGCTAATATATATATTTAGATCAGCCGTTTAGTAATTCAACTATTATAATTTTCAGAGAGGTGTGCCGCTGGTAAATACTTTGACGCTGAGGCGGAACTTTGCCGTCCATGCGGTCACGGTTCCTATCAACCAAGAGAGGGCGCCTTCTCCTGTATCTCCTGTCCCAGAGGTCAAACCACTCGAGCCACAGAAGCGGTATCTGCTGCCGAATGCAGAGACGATTGTCCTTCAGGTACTTTTAACGCTATATTTGATGCTTCGTCTTTATAAGACAACGTTTTGGATTCTTACATACAAGTAAACAATATGTTCCAACATCCTGTCTATCAATGTCGCAAGGGAGTCATTCTCTCGGGTTTGAATAGCAAGAAAACCGTTTTTACACTACAGTTGAATATTCGATCTCACATCTCAGATTGAACATAAAATATGAATTACATATGTTATCCTTGATAACCATTGAACATTGTCCAGCAAAAGCAAAGCTAAACGATTTTTAATGTTTATTCCATTAGAGTTAATTGAGCTGCACTTCTTTTTCTGCCTTTACCCCTATTCCTGACGTCAACCTACTTAAATATTGGTAAAACTTGTTACATGTTTAAATATTATGGGAATAAGTAAAAGGACTAAATACCACTACCATGGACAAAAACGTAAAAAAAGTGGCTACAGGTTCCTAAAATCACGAGGTCTTTTGATTAATAGCAAATACTTCACCATGTACCTAACAGTACGATTAGAACTAATCACGGCTTCATTGTTTTGAATTGCCCTAGATACGTCCTTACGGATCCATCAGATAAAATAACCCTTGCATTAGACATCATTAGCTCTAACACAAGGAGTAGGGACCCCGAAAATCAGCCCGCTTAGTTTCTCGCCGGGTCTTCTCAGCGGGTCGCGATTCCGATCCGGTAATAGATTCATTCGCGAAAGAGCTACTCTTGAGTCGTTAGGGCTCCTTTGGAGGCACTCGGGTAGCTGTTAGCAAATCCCACCCCTCCTGGCTGAGCAATTACTCACCCACCTGCCCTGGTAAAAATGGAAAGGCCTCCGGGCCAAAAGTAGCTTCTCAAACATAAAAAAAATGTTTTGGCTTTTCAGGAGAACAGTTAGGCACTGATGGAGGTTGTGAACCTTGTCCTCGAGGTACATGGCGCGCGACAGGCGCGGGAGCCGCGTGCGCGCCATGCCCTCCTGGGACTACCACACCGCAAACAGGCGCTTCCTCTGCAGATCAATGTTCATTGCCCGTTTGTAGACCTGGTAAGTTCGTGATTAGCCGGTAACTGAAACGGCGTTCATTTCACGACACCATAGCAATAATAATGCGTGCATTACATAACAAAACATTAATAATAATAATATAACTCTTTATTTAACACCACATGTACAGAGTAAGCTTAAAAAACAAATAAAAGACGCTGACATAAATTGGCGGCCGATCTCTTCCAGGCAACTTTGCAGGGAGAGGAATAAGCAAACTCGACGGTGCTACATCTTAATAAGCTTACATAAAAATATATACTTATATACACATGTGGAAAAGAAATACAATATAAGATAGACTTACATACGATTAAATACAAATAAATACTAAAAATATGCAAGTAAATACAAAAGAAGTAGCAACTTGTACTTTTTTTTTTTTTTTTTTTTTTTTTTTTTTTTTTATGATTGAAAGTTTGCTGGTGGCCCGAAGGCCTTTCCAGTTTCACCAGGACAGGTGGGCGAGCAAAGGCTCAGCCAAGAGGGGTGGGATTTGCTAACAACTGCCCGAGCGCCTCCGAAGGAGACCTAACAACTCAAGAGCAATTGTTTCGCGAATGAATCTACTACCGGATNCTTTGTCGGCAGATGTACCACGAACACAGAAACAACAAAAGGAAACAAAACAAATAAAAACTTCCAGAAAGAGCACTTAGTCGGCAGATGTACCACAAACACAGGCCGCGCGAACAATGGCCGGGCTAACAAAAGCCGGGCGAACAAAGACCGGGCGATCGAGTGGACGATGAGCACGTCCGCACGTGACGGGTGCCTCTATCGGAAAAAGGGCAACTTGTACTGTAACATTAGCGTTATATAAAAATAGTGCATCAGAACTTGCTATTCTTTAACACGTGTAATATATCAGACATAAGATCGAATGTCCATTATTCAAATTTGAACAATTAATTTGATATTTGACATTACGTTATGTACTGCATTACACTACAATAGGTACTGAAATATCGACGAATTTAACAATAAAATTATTACAATGTTATTTTTTATATTCAGAAGCTGAATTTTTACATATTTTATCGTAAGCATCACTTCTGTTGACCTGTAAGATTAGCTTTAAATAAAGTATTTCTTCAACGGCAACAGCAGAGACACGAAACTTTTTGTACGCATTTTATTATGATAGCCGATTTTCAGATGTATTATAACACGGTTGCTACGTCGTTCTAGACCCTGAATAAAATACTTTGCATACTTTTCTCACTTTGCACACTTGTATAAACTTTGCATAGACATAAATGCATATGCATTCAGTTACGAATACCCATTTCAATTATCTAATAACTTGTTTTGAAAAAAAAAGCACTATCTAACTATGAATTGATGTTAATTGAATAATGAAGTTCTCAAATCATATATGAATAGTTAAAATAATATATCCACAAAAAAAAAACTACAAGCAAGGAAGCAATCGAGCTAATTCGGAGATTAAATCGGTTTCCTATCCGATATTCAATTCTTGAACAAATAAAATAAGATTCAAGGCAATTTAAACATCGATATTAAGATTTTTATTCATTTCAGGATCATACCTCAACGTGACACTGAACACGTGTATTCAATGCAGAAAGGGTACCTACCAGTCGGAAGCACAACAGACAATATGCGTACCTTGTCCTATAAACACGAGTACCAGAGGACCGGGCGCGGTTAGTACAATAAAATGAATTGGCTCCATAAATTTTTGACACAAGATTTCTGTACTACCATACCGATTCCTCTATGTCGTTTGGTTAAAGATAAGTACGGTTTATTGGTGGTACCGCGTTTTACTCGCTGTGATAGGTACCGCCATCCTGCATATATCAGCCGCAACGCAAACATGCGTTTCGTTTTAAGAGTGGGATAGCCGTTGTACTATCCAACTGAGACTTGTGTATGGAGATATTCCTGTTACGATTTCTATGGGCTCTGAAAGCTACTTACCTGCGCCGAAGCTATTAGGCTTATAAGGGAATCGTAAAAGAATATGAATACCGTTAAATTCTCTTCCAAATTAAAATGTATCATCGTTACGTGCACGATGCGAATTTCAATAACCGATGAATATATCTCCTCCACTTATATACCATGTGAAGTAGAATATAAACATTCTTGAGAATATTCGAGTGGAAGGGAAGACACAATATTAAATTCTTTGTAGATTTACATGGAACACGTTTCTCGTTATTCACGGCGAAGTTTCAAACAAATTTTAATGAAAACAGTAATCAAAACACAATTGGGATACGATATTTTCGAATTTTGATTTAAGAATTTTAAGTCTTCATCAAAAATTACTTATTCAGAATATTTATTGTATTAATTTCGATTATCAATATTAAATGTCGATTAATGTGACTTTTTCTCATTCAGACCTCAGAGTCAGACTGCACAAATCCTTGCGAGATGAGCGGTCCTGAGATGCACTGCGATGTCAATGCATACTGCCTTTTGATGCCGGAGACAAGCGAATTCAAATGTCAGTGCAAACCTGGATTCAACGGCACTGGAAAAGTTTGCATAGGTAAATAAATGGTTTCTTTAATTTACTAAATCTCTATATTATATATATATATATATTTGGAACAATTATGGTGATTGACAAATTAAAGAGCGGACGGTTAGCGTGGTATGGACATGTGATGCGTAGAGAGAAGATGCATGTGACTAGGAGATGTATGGAAACGGTAGTGCAAGGTAGAGAGGGAAGAGGTCGACCGAAGAAGACATGGATGGGGTGTGTGGATGATGATATGAGAGAGAAAGGAGTAAGTGTTAAGATGACGGCTAAAAGCGAATGGAATAGAAAAATTCACTGTGCCGACCCCACCTAGTGGAATAAGGTAGAGACAAAGAAGAAAAAGATATATTTTTCATACAGATAATCCAAAACAAAGTAGCAAAATACTGAACTCGACAAAGTTTACGTCTGTACAGTAATTGTACAGCACATTATTCAATTTCACAATATCAGCTTAAAATTACTAGCGTCCGCCTAGTGATCGAATTTCCACTATAACCACTTTAACCTCAACCCTTACATTCAGTTTCTGTACCTTGTGGTTTAATTAATTGACATTTTGAACCAAAAAAATCTAAAGCTCGTCCAGAGTAGAATTCACATATTAGTTTAATATAGCTAAAGTCTGTGGTAGATTCGGCATCCAGAATCATAGTTTAAATAACTTTATTTCCAGACGTGTGCCTTGACTACTGCGACAATGGAGGCGAATGCGTAAAGGACGCTAGAGGCGAACCTTCGTGCAGATGCACAGGTTCGTTCACCGGAAGACACTGCAGGGACAAGAGCGAGTTCGCTTACATTGCGAGCGGTGTCGCCGGTGGAGTCATCTTTATTATATTCTTGGTCCTGCTTGTATGGATGATTTGCGCCAGGTCAGTTTTAATTCAGTTCTGTAACCTATCTAATGTTATATACTCAGTTTCCACGATGATAAATAGACATTGTCAAAACAAAAACATATTTTATAGATAATTTTAGCTGATTCGGCCTATTTCATTTGGCCCTGCTTAGATCGCTTCAGACGTTCAGTTTATAGTAGTTATCCCAAATTTATTTATTCATTACGTAAATACAACGAATTCATGCCTTAGGACATCCACTGAAATGATAGGGTGATGCTATTTCAGACACCACACGCCCAACTCAATTGAAATATTAACCTGATGTTTTAAGATGAAGTATATATAAGTTGAAGCAGCTGTTTAACATTAGAGAGAGAGACATTTGTAAATTTTTTACTTGATAAAAAAAACTTAGCCTCTACTCTAATATATCGCAACAATTCATTACTTCCAATATTATTATTTTTATTGCTTAGATGGGTGGACGAGCTCACAGTCCACCTGGTGTTAAGTGGCTACTGGAGCCCATAAACATCTACAACGTAAATGCGCCATTCACCTTGAGATATAAGTTCTAAAGTTTCAAGTACAGTTACAACGGTTGTCCCACCCTTCAAACCGAAACGCATTACTGCTTCACGGCAGAAATAGGCAGTGTGGTGGTACCTGACCGCGCGGACTCACAAAGGGGTCCTACCACCAATAAATGAACATCTTTATATCGCAACAGGTCAACCAAGAGGAAAGAACCAAAGAAGACACTCACCCCAGCTATCGACCAAAACGGTTCCCAAGTGAACTTCTACTACGGAGCTCACACACCTTACGCGGAATCAATAGCGCCCTCGCATCATTCAACATACGCTCATTACTACGACGACGAGGAGGACGGCTGGGAGATGCCGAACTTTTACAACGAGACTTACATGAAGGAGAGCTTGCATAATGGTATGAATGGTAAAATGAACAGCTTGGCGAGGTCAAACGCCAGCATCTATGGAACGAAGGAGGATCTTTACGATAGGTTGAAGAGACACGCGTACCCGGGTAAGAAAGGTCAGTATTCTTTATGTAGCACTTATATTATATGCACGCTTTTATCGAGAATGCAGCTTGTCGCACTCATAACTCTGCTTATATATCGATTTTAGTAGTTAATACTAATATATTGAGTTTCCTTCTTGAACCTCTGCTATATTGTAATGCGGTCTCATGAAATACTGTAAGATATTGGTATTTAATGTTCAGGAAGCTTTCGAAAGCGAATATGGCACGTCTTAAAAGAAAAAAAAAAATGTGTGCGTGTACTAGTGTACACACGTAAGAAGTGAAACTTGTTTATGGCCTTATTTTTCGAAAAATGATCTACATGCAACTTTCTAGAAATTGGTTAAATAAAGTTAAATTAGATAAAGTTTAAACAAAAGGATTTTATTATCATAGACATGAATACAAAAAAGTTAAATTAGATAAAGTTTAAACAAAAGGATTTTATTATCATAGACATGAATACAAAACAGATGGCGCGTAACGGAAAAATGTGACGCGTAACCGAAAAATGTGACGGTAAATTTTTTTCCAACGCCGATAAAGAAGTTTCACTTCAAAAACTTCGTTATTTCCATTGTTATTCTGAATATTTATGCTAGATAATTATATAGTTAAAAACAAAAAAGACACTTTAAATAATAGTAAAACTGTAATAAAATAAAATATCCTAGTTCTGGTCAGGATATTAGATCAAAATAGATAAATTTTGGTATTATCTTCGGCCCTTCGTGTATGTCGATAAGTTTCAATTTAGGCCTCCATGTCTTAATGTGGGTAGCCTCATTCACGTTCTAAGGTCTATAGGTTTCGCACTTAATAACAGGAGAGCTGTAATCTTATTCACCAGAACAACAACAACAAAAAAACCGTTTTAATAAAATCGACTTGAAGGCGTGTGTTCATATTATGTAGTCTATAGATCCCGCGTCACCGTTCAATAAAACTACTAAAACCTAAGCTATCAGTAGCTCAGACATACGATACAAAAACGATAAAAAATCAATAGTGATTGAAAAACATTTTTTATCGTGTGGACGTTCGGAACGACCTTATTAAAGTGCATGCTTGTTTATTTGTTACTATGAACATATTTTATCAACATTATTTTATCAGCTGAAATGGAAAAATACGTCTTATGCAAAACAATAGCGTTATTTATCATTAAGTCACAGTAACATATTATCTGACGTAAGATTTAGAATCATCTTTTTGTTTTGTTTCAGAGAAGAGTGATAGCGACAGTGAAGGTCAATAGGGTGCTAGTTTGGAGAATTCTGGTCAATCTATGAACTATTTTTGTTATACCCTACCTACCGTAATAGTCTATTTAATGTAAAGGTTTAAGGGATGAAGTGTATACGGTTTCATTTTAGTACTGATTTACAAAACGACGATGTAATTTAGTCACAAACTGTACCATCCTAGTTTTACCAGCGTCCAGAATTATCATCAGAAACAAAATGGCCGGTCTCTGACCGGTCACATAAAATTGAAATATTATTATAAGGTCGTATAATTACGATTCTGATTCATCGCTTTTGACCTTTCGTCGTCTGACCAGTACGAATAAAGATAGTGAATAATTTATATTCATCCATCGTGGCCAATGAATACATAATAACATTGATCGTGACTTAGCATTCGACCAAGGGTATATTCTTCGTCTGCTATTAGCTTTACTTTTAGATTTAATTTTTATGTTTATTAACACACTCACTGTTTAAATCTTACCAAACACGATGAAAACATTCCTCAATAATTTATTAATTACTTAAATAATAAAAGTGTGACGTCATTTAAGATGTAGATCTATATCACGACATACAACAGACACGTTGCCTCATATTATCAACAATTTCAAATGAAATTAATGAATATTAATCGCAAGACAATAACCATTGGGTTATCACGGCCGCACCAGTGCCGTAATAAAACTTTGACAAGAAAAATACCGAGGAATTTAATTAGAATTAATCATGTTTAATAAGATGTTAATTTATAATAGAATTTTTTTAGCAGTCTCCATTGAAATAACGAAAAGACGTACGTGTATTGATTATTCTGAGTATCGAAACAGAATGTATTCGAAAAATAGCTTTTCGAACTGAGAGAGACAACTACGTGTCTTACTTTAATAGATAAACAGTGAATGTGTTGACTTCAAATAATGGATCAACGAACAAAATGCTCAAGATATAATTTAAGGCGAACACTGCCATATAAAATTAAATACGCAGGGCTTTTGAGTATAATATTAAACGAATTTTATAATCGTACCTAAGTACATTCCAACGAAATTAATGGAACGTGTAAATATAATAATTATGGAGAAAACATTTCTGTATATTTATGTTTATTTTAGTATCATAGCTGTAAGTGTTAATTCCAAAATTTGCATAATAAATATTAATTAATCCAATCTCTATGATACGTTTAGCTTAAGAAACGTTTATATTTTTTGTATGATAAACTGAAATAATATTTTGATGCAATTGTATGTGTATAAATGTGCGAAGTGAATGTAAAGAAAATAGTTATACGTATTAATGAAAACAATTATGTATAGCGTGTATTATATAAACGATTGATTTTTTATTTGTATAAGCGTTAAAAAATACACATTTTCCAATCCATCCCATAATAATTTATGAGACATATCTATACTCTTCCTAACACTAGTTTTTATATTGAATTCGGTCATGGTAAACGTTTCAGAGTATCAGACTAGACCTGGTAAAGGTCTTATTACCGTGTATTCTAAAACTTTTTAATACTCATTAAGTGGTATGTAATCCATCACAAACACATTAGTGATTTACGTTAACAGTAATGTTTTTTTTTACAAAATTTTATACAATAAATATTATACATATTATTTAGATTGTTTTTTCTTTCAATAAAAATGGAGCACCCTGTGTGCTTGGCTATTTTTAACTTCTCGATCGCATAAAAGTTAACTCAATATTGTACGGAGTTGGAATAGCTTCTAAAAGGTCGTACTCAACACACTGGTCACTGAATGATCCCAAATATGTAGTTGTTGTAATGTAAGTTTTGCGACACGAATCTAATCTGTCGACCGCATTAATTCAATGCATGACGTCTAGAGAGATGTGAAACACAAGCCTCTCCATGACAACAAACAATTCTCAATAAAGAAAACAAAAAAAAAGTCTTCGAAAATTGAGTTGAGAATATCATCAACATAGTCGAAGGTAATTAAATATTATGCATTCTCAAAAACTACAGCAGGGCTGTCGAAACAACGGCCCGCGGCTTATTTGCATGTGGCCCGCGAAGTATGTTTTAGTCAGAAAATAGTTTTGGATATAAATAATTTGGGCAATAGAACTCTTTGTCAAAACATATGATCAATATTTGGTATAAATTATCTTTATTCTTGTAAGATTCCATTTCCATGACATCATTTAAAAATGAAGCTATCTTTTAGTATTATTGGGGGAATTCCCGGAACGTATTTTGTTTTTTTTTAAACAAGTTTTTCTGCATTATAGTAAATTTAATTAGCCCGCAAAAGCTTGGACAGCCCTGAGCTATAGGACAGATCTAGACAAATAATATTTAAATACATTGAGACTTTGATCGTATAGTTGGTTACAGTACTCACGTTGTGATGTAAATGGGTTACGAAAACCACTCAACTTTAGGTAAACAGTGAGATCGTGTGTGCCTGGACGTCAACAGAAGCATTGCCTTTTTTTGTTAAGTAAATTCGAATTGGTTAATGGAAAAAAATCATGTAGTTCACAAACTGTAATGGTTTTTACCACCCTGCCTATTTCTGCAGTGAAGCAACAGTAATGCGTTTCGGTTTGAAGAGTGGGGCAGCCGCTGTAACTATACTTGAGACCTTAGAACTTATATCTCAAGGTAGGTGGCGCATTTACGTCGTAGATGTCTATGGGCTCCAGTAACCACTTAACATCAGGTGGGCTGTGAGCTCGTCCGCCTATCTAAGCAAAAAAAATAATAAAAAATCCTTCAGAAGTATTCTATCTCGTTTTCTCTCTCTGTCTAAATCCTATACAAATACGTTTCTTCCTTTCTTTCTATAAGATAATATGGTATGTGTTTGCTCATTGACATCACAATGCAAATGCAACCTTATAAAAAATATTTTAAGCCTAAATTTTATTGCAAAATAGCTGATAAACCCGTAAAACTGGAACACAACGACGCAGCAGAAATAACCAGAATAGTAATAATAACAGCAATAATTATGCAAATACAAATTTTTGCAAAATTGATTTTTGTTACACGATGTTATTTATGACTTCAGCCATTCGTAAGCACTGGCATAGTCGTAGTTTCTTTTCACGTCACTTTTTCGTTTCGTCCAGTTTCAAATCAAAACGATGTTAGAAAAATGATAAACTTCGAATATGCAATAAAAACATTGTAAATTACCTATGTATTTAAAAAGGTTTCAAGCAATCTTCAAATTATGCAAGTACCCACAACATTGCCGGTTACAACATCTTGAATACAGTTATCAATTTTATGATAATAACAATGTTGACATTTGACACGTCCACCGACGAATACTTGTATGTAATATTTTAAAAAATTACTTTGAAACTATTTTACTTACACCACATTTTTTTAAAGGATCTATATTTAAATCTCTCTCTATAAACTACGGGCATTCCTGGACTTTTAAGGGTTATATTATAGTGGATAGTAATGCTACAACATAATAATATGTACCCAATAAAAATAATCAAATATTTGAAAACTTGTAGGTAGTCATGGTAATTTCAACTTTTTTCTGTATTTATTTTTATCTGTTGTTTTTCTTTTTTTTCTCGATTAGTTATGAGAAGGCCCACCCTCTGATACCCGCTTATCGTTGAATTTTGGGACACGTTGTTTATATACATTTTTATCATCACAGATTAATAGCACATTGCGACATCATTCCATGTGACGTAAAATGCACATCTGCCTGATTGGCCGTTGACGTAAAGACGCGGGATCTCCCCGCGTACAAATTACAAACAAGCATTTGTTTACATAACCCCTTTTATTGCGGGAAAAAATATCAACAATATATGAAAACGAATAAAAAACATTACTGGTCGTAGGATCTCTTGCGAGTTCGCACGGGTAGGTACCACCACACTGCTTATTTCGGCCGTGATGCAGTAATGTATTTCGGTTTGAAGGGTGGGGCAGCCGTTGTAAATATACTGAGAGAGAAATAGAACTTAAATCTCAAGGTGGTTGGCTCATTTACGTTGTAGAAATCTATGGGCTCCAGTAACCACTTAACACCAGGTGGGATGTGAGCTCGTCCACCCGTCAAGCAAAAAAAAACATTTAACACAAAAAAGTGAAAATGCTCAAATTGTTGAATCAGTACCGGTAAAACCAAGTTTCAACGAAATTGCGCCATAGCGATGCACCTTCTGTTGTTCTGGATCATATTATGTACCAAAATGATGTGTGGATCACAAATGGTCACTACCTTATTTTATAGTATAAGCTAAAACGTGGCTATGACTTCCAAATGATTTCATATAGTATGTGTAACAAAACTACCTACCCTACATATTTCACATTTACACTAGTCGGTTAACCATTTTATACATAGACTAGCTGTAGCCGTCTGCTCCGCTGGGCATTTCAAATTAACATAATTATTTCTCACCCCTACAAAGATTCTCATCATTAACGCCCCCGCAACTGGTGTAAGGAGCCCAACACTCATATAAATATTAGCCTATCCATTAAGTACATGTATTTTCTACATGGATACCGAGTTACAAGTCAATCGGATGCACGGTTCAAGTTATAACGGAACATCCGTAAAAACCACTGTAGATTTATATATTAGTATAGATATAGCTGAACGACAGTAATTACTCATCAATTGGATCATATGCTCGTCTGCCTACAATGGCAATAAAAAACCCATCAGAATTAATTAGCTTCGACCTCATTAAAATGTCTTACAAATCTATTTTTCCACCTAATCTAAATAAACATAATATCACTATTATCTGATACGAATGAATATGTTTGCACGAAACAGATAGCAACAACTAAAGTTAAACATTCCTATTATTAAATCAAGTGATTCTTATTATCTAGAGATAGGAGTTTATATGTACGATGAATACGCAAAACAGTTCTGATGCGATCTTACAAAATTAAATCCCTTTTAATAAAATACTATATTTGATACAAAATTTATTTTAATTATATACATATATTAATACAACAATATAAAACAACAAATTCCAAATAACATACAAAAAGTATATATTACTTGTATAAATTTAACAATATTTACTTGGAATGTTTTTTATAGAACTCCTCCATGTACTGAACGAGAGCTTGAACCTCCTCTAGGGTCACTGCATTATATATTGAGGCACGAATACCGCCAACGTCTCTGAAAAAAAAAACACAATCTCCATTAATTTCTCTGTGCAGTGTTTATGACTACTATTACTACAATGTTACGGCAGAAATAGCTAAGGTCCAGGAGGACGGGACGGCGCGTCGGCGGCTGCGGACTGCGATGCGGTCCGCATTTTCGTCGCAAAAAAAAAAAAAAAAGAAATAGCTAAGGTCGTGGTACAGTGCAGATTCACAATACTAGTAAAGTAGCTTTGATATAACAGGAAATATTGAAACATGAGTTAGGGCGTCTAATAAGGCTACGGTAACTACTGAGACACAAAACTAAATAAAAAAAAACAACAAACAAACAAAAAAACAATAGACCATTATAATATGAAACACCATTTGACTGATCAACCTCTGTCTTTTGATCAGATCTCAACGTCTTACAATTTGATTTAGCTTTGAACAATAATGAACTAAAGTGAATTAAATCATAATTTAAATTATAGAGGTGACATTGATAAAATTTATTCTTTATTTACTAACAATACAAAACAAATAACGAAATATGTAGAAGCATGTGACATAGCACATGTGACATTGCAAATGATACTTGTAAAAGACAAGGTGATTCAGAAATGATAAGGTGAATGTAAAGACACGATTTAGCAGATACTGTGGCTAAAGAATATGATGTGAATATTATGTATGATGTAGATTTTAAACATTTTTTACAACTTAACTTATGTTAAAGGTTGTCAATCAATATATCATACATTTTCAATAATATGTCAAAGATAGTAGAGCTTTTTTTCAGGGAAAGGTATTTACCTGTGTCCTTTTAGCTGAATAAGTCCCAAAGTCTCAGCACCCTTCAAGAATTCTTTTTCTAAGGCATCATCACCAGGACAACCAATTCTGAATGGCACATTCATTTTACTGCGAACATTTTTAGCTACAGGGGCATAATAAAAACCATTCGATTGCTCAATTGTGTTGTAGATAAGTGAGGCTTTCTTTGTTGCCAATTGAGACATTCCTTCTAATCCTCCATTCCTTTGAATCCATTGTAATACTCGACCCATTATATAGATGCTGAAATTTAAAGTTTCGAGATTAAACAGGCATAATAAGTATGAACATATCTACGGCCAACACTAAAGTCTAAAAATTATTATATAAATGAGATCATAGTCATTTTTCGTCATAATAAGTTAGCCATTATATATAATACTTTGTTACTTACGCAAACATAGGTGGAGTGTTTAAAATTGAATTCTGTTTGTAGTTAGCTGTCCAGTCTAATAAAGAGGGACATGTCGGTAGAGCCTGATTCAAAAGATCCTCTCTAACAATGACAAGCGCTACCCCAGATGTACCAATATTCTTTTGAGCACCAGCATATATCACCCCAAACTGGAAAATGCAAAATTTACAAGATTATTGTACACTAGTTGTCATTTTATTATCAGTATAACATTGTAATTATAAAAACATACCTTTGAAACATCAACTTTCTTCGACATAATGTTTGAAGACATATCTGCGATTAAAGGTACTCCTTTCGTATCTGGTATGAAGTCAAATTCAACACCTGTAAAAATAAATCATTACAATTAAGTATCTTGTTGAGAAAAAATCATATAGCATAATTTGTTGAATAATTTTCCATTACAACAGCCTTGATAAGCAATCAGTTAGACAGGCAATCTAATAGATATGCACTAGAGAAAATTATTGATTATTATTTTAAATAGTATATTCGAATCTAAAGAGCAGTTATTGGCTTATTGGAAAGACTTAGGATATCATTACCATGTATTGTTTCATTAGTACAAATATGTACATATGAAGCATTGGGATCAAGGTTCCATTTTGTCTGATCAGGTATATCTTCATATTTATCTGTCGGTGGTAGCACCAAATTTACTTTCCCATATTTTTTCGCCTCCTTGGCTGCTTTAGCAGACCACGCACCTAAAAATTAGGAAATATTAGTTTTCATGAAACCCTATTATTAAATTTAATTGTACTAATTTATAAACATACCTGTTACTACATAATCAGCAGTACCAGTTCTGGATATTAAGTTTAAAGGAACAGCTGCAAATTGACCAAGACCCCCACCAGCTAAAAACAGCACTTTGTAGTTGTCCGGTACATCTCTAAAATAATGTTTAGTCTTCAATCGATTTGAATTTAATTTGAATATTCCTTCCAGCGCAGTTATTGTTCAGTATATACCACAAAGAAATGTTCGTTTTTGGTTAATTGACCATTTTTAGCTTGTTTTAATTTATTTTGGCAGATCTCAATGAAGGCCATTAAAATTTATTGATTTCGATAAATCTCTTTTTTTATATATTATCTATGCTACTTTTAGCCATCGAATAAGATTTTTTCCTTTGATTCTTCGACCAAAAATTAACACCTGACCTTGCATTATGGAATATTATTGTAAGTGGTTCGTTCAGGTGAACTGAAACTTTTAAAGGAAGTTGTTTACCTATGTACTACAAATTATCGAACACTGGCTCCCCGCTCCGCATAGCTAGAGGTAGTCTCTTAGGCAGTCTTAGTGATGGTAGGACCCCTTGTGAGTCCGCACAGGTAGGTACCACCACTCTGCCTATTTCTACCGTGAAGCAGTAATCCGTTTCGGTTTGAAGGTTTGAAGAACTTATATCTCAAGGAGGGTGACGCACCGCGCATTTACGTTGTAGATGTCTATGGGCTCCAGTAACCACTTAACACCAGGTGGGTTGTGAGCCATTTAAGTAATAAAAAAAATGTTAAGTATATTTATTATCTATGATAGGTAGCGACTAAATTCACGAACCGATGAAATCTCATGAACCGAGTCTTCACATGCATTAACCCTTTGTACATCGCGTTCTGTTACTTTTTTTAGGCGAGTTGATGTTTTGAATATAGGAATGAACCTATTTTAGTTTTTATTATTCACGCTTCACAATAAATATTACTATTTTCATAGAAATATGTAATTTGACATCTACGTACATTTAACCTAAATAAAATTGAATGCCCAACAAGATATCATTAAACGGAAAAATAACAGAAATTATAATTAAAATGAATCCAATCATAAATAAGCATTTTTTTCAAACGAAATGTTAAATTTATTAGGTATCTATAATATATTTGTTACTTTATTTTTCTAAGCCTGTAAGAGAGGAAATTACAATTTTAATTTTATCATCTAATGCTACTAGGTACTGACCGAAAAAAATTTCAATTCCTAGTTTTAACTTCATTTTAAGTCGATACTTGATTGAATACATTTGCGGAACGAATACATTTGCGGAACGAATACATTTGCGGCACCATTATTCCCAATAATAAAAGATTCTATAAAATGAACATAGGTTTTCTTGTCATTTAAACATCGACAGTTTGTAATGAAAAAATATACTTTTTTTAAATATTAATTTCTAAATTTGTTAATTATAATAGTGAATTTGTCGAAAAAACAATCCACATAAACTTCCACCAAATTAATAAAAAAAAATTCTGTAATTTTCCACCCTCGAATGATACGAAAGATTTTTAGTTTCATTAAAAGTTGTTCTTGCCTTCAAAACAAGATAAATCACTGCTATAATGATATGAACTGAAGGAACACCACGAAAAGGAGTTCATTCCAGTTAGGTACTACCGGCATTATTTTGTACTCTTTGAAATTTATATGAATATAAAAACTATATATTTTTTTAATGATTGAATCATTACTGGTGGCCCGAAGGCCTTTTCAGTTTCACCAGGACAAGTGGGCGAGCAAATACTCAGCCAGGAGTAAAAACTAATAAACGGCAGCCCCAATCTATTTAAATTTAAATTTTGTTTTTATTGCCTAGATGGGTGCATAAATTCACGGCTCGCCTTTGGTTACGTGGTTACCGGAGACATCTACAACGTAAATGCCGCCACCCACCTTGAGATATGAGTTCTAAGGTACAGTACAACAGCTGCCCCTCTTCAAACCGAAAAGCATTAATACTTTACAGCAGAAATAGGCAGGGTAGTAGTACCTACCCGTGCGGACTCACAAAATGTCCTACCACCAGTAAGTGCATAATTATTGATAGTTCGGCGTATTGTTAGCCTCCTTCAGGATCATCATCGTTCTGCCCCGAAATAATTCTGTATTCCTGATTTAAGGCTAGAAAAGCCGTAATATATAATAATGGCTGAGATTTCGATGTCAAGCCTCATATTTATGGAAAATTTGCTTCATTGACCACTTACTTAATCCGCCCGTATACACCAATAAAGAAGCTTAATATATAATTTATTAGGCTGTAGCTACTTACAATAAGTTTCGCACAACATCCTGAATTTCGACATTTAGCTTCATGTATGTTGAAGAACGATGACTTGTTTCCAATAAACTAATTCCAGAATTTTCAAAATTTGTCAATTCATTCTTAATAATTTCATAGACCTGCAAATTGTTTATTTAAAATATCTAATACCTAGGTATTTTTGTATAACGACCATAATATAATATTTCTAAATAGGTATACAATATTAACTGGTTGTGGTATATATATACAAGTGGTAGGACGTCTTGTAAGTCGGGTGGGTATCACCCCCCTATTTCTGCCGTGAAGTAGTAATGCGTTTCGGTTTGAAGGGCGAGGCAGTTGTTGTACTCTTAAAACTGAGACCTTACATTTCATGTCTCAAGGTGGATGGCAGCATTCACGTTGTAGATGTCTATGGGCTGCGGTAACCACTTAACACCAGGTGGGCCGTAAGCTCGTCCACACATCTAACCAATAAAAAAATTTAAGTACTTGGTTATTACTATTCTATTATCAACTTATTATTATTATTTCTCATTCATTAATTAAATGTCAGCAAACACAAATCTATAAGTCAATTTAATTATCTCTGTCAGATATCCATATTCTAACACGCGCAATTGTTGTTTATTGTTCAATAAAATGACCTTGACTGATACTATGGACAAGACAAGAATGCACGAACAAACAATATGACGACATTAAAAAAGGTTTTAAATTGATTCATTATTTAATCGTGAATACAACTTACTTCTTCTGGCAATTTAGCCGGTCCAGCGCCAAAATTAAACACTTTAGACATTTTCACTTATTTATTTATTTAATTAATTCCTACACTACACTATTTTACCAAACGACACTATCGTTCTCAGACGTGTCGCAGTACGATGTGGTTATGTCTGCCTGCGCGACAGAAATGAGAAATTATATTTTATTGTGTAGCATTTATCGGTAGGTTATCGCCCTGTATAAATTGCCAACAGGCTTCTCGAGTTAACTGGTTTGTCGAGTTTGAATGAACGCATTCGAGCCGTTTAGTATGTTTGACGTTTAAATTTTAATACGCACTGCTGGCACAAGCTGATGTGTAATTTTTTTTTGTAAAAGACTTAGTTTGATGTATACGGTTTATGCAAAGGCGAGCTTAACTCGTCATGAGTTTTATTCCAGCAAACCAGTAATAGTAATAACATTAAGAATAGTGGGCAATAGTTTACAAGAACCACTACTATCTCTAAATGAGCAAATATAAAACATACTTGCAACATATCAACATAATTAAATAATGGTTAACGGAGACCATGAACATCACAACAAGAATACCGCCACCCTATGCCATGCGCTGGAATTATCAAATAGATTTTATAACGACTGTGCCAGCCTTCAAAATGGAACGGGTGACATGTTCGCAACATAAATAGCAACTGATTTAAGCAAATTAATAAAATATTGCCTAATAATATAACCTCATTAGCACGTACACGATCTTATTTTTTCGCCGTGGAACAAGTGTGAAGTATGTATCTCTCCTTTTTTTTTCCACAAGAGAAAATCGCCGGATCCCCACCTGCGCGGCAGGTGGGGTATGTGGGAGTTGAACCTCACTAAAAACTCCTGCCGCTCACAACCGGCGCCCTACCTCGGACCGGGCCGGAGCCCAGTCGGGGCTATTGAGACGGCGGGACAGGGTTGACGCAGAGCACATTACATCCATCCCACCGTCCCACGGACGCCGGACCGGCGGCCGCCAGCGACACGACCACCGGTTCCCTCGTTCAGCGGACCGAGAGCCCGCTTTGATGGCACCGCGTTACACTTCCCCCAGAGCGGTCGGGGGAACGCGGTCTACCATCACCCAGCTTCCTACTGCGGGTGAGCGTGCAAAGCACGCCACCCCACGTCTGGGTCTCTCCCCGCACAAAACGGGTGGGACCCCTAGCTCTTAGGGGGCCAGGTCACGGATACGACCACGGTCCCGACCCCCTGCTCGGCGGCGGCGGGTTTCTGCGTAGTGAGGAGAGCTTTGCCTCACTTGCCCCGCCGCCTCCTTCTGCGAGATGGTGCACTCGCAGAAGTCGAGCATAGCCTTCCAGGACTCATCGCCGCCAAGCATCGATGCCACGACGCCAGGCAGCGACAAGTCAGGTCTTATCTTTGCGACCAGGACACGGCGCTGCACCTCCCAAGTGGGGCAGACAGCGAGCGTATGCTCCGCCGTGTCCAGGTCGTGTCCACAATGGTGACACCTCGTCGTCGGCTCAGCCCCTATCCGGCGCAGGTACTTCGCGAAGCATCCGTGCCCGGTCAGCACCTGCACCAGACGAAAGGTGAGAAGTCCTTCGCCACTAGTTCGTTCCTTAGTTAAACTTCGTTCATTTGCACAAAAGCTGGGTAGAAAACACATACAAAAGCATCCAGAGAGGTATTAGCACGTACGGAAGGCGGAATTAAATTCTGCCGTTGCACTGAATGAACAGTAAGAAACAGTAAAAAAATAATCATCAAAGCGGCTTGATGTGTGCATATGGGGAAGAAAAATTGGTTATCGAGCATCTTTGGAGTTAGGCATCAGATATTCGAAGCGCTCACGAAAATAAGAAATCATTTTATTGTTAATTAATAAATATTGCGACCATTAATCGAAATAAAAACCTTCCTATGGCCTAAGTTGGAACAAAACACATATTTTAATAAAAAGTTAAAATCTGTTCAGTAGTTTAGGCGTGCATCGCGGACAAACAATGTGACACGTAATTTATATATGATAAGATGTATGTATAATTAATACATAATCTGCCTTTGTAATTCTGTAAATAAACATAAAATACATAGCAAAGTATGATTTAGTACCTACTATGTAAAAAACTAGATTTAGTTAAAAATATTTTTTAGCTGGCAGCACTGATCACTCATAGTACATAGAGTAGACACTAATATTAAATAGCATGATAAGCAAATAACTCTAATAAAAGCTAGTTTATCACATAGGGGTAAAACAATATAGTTTTTTTTATAAACATCGAACATTAGGCAAATTTGTTTTTAATCATAGGATTGGTTACGTTTAAATATGATTATTTTAGTTTAATTATGGTTATATTTAAAAACCAATTTATTTCCATACTTACAATCTTAATTCTGTCGATGTGCTTGAAATTAATACTTAAAATAAAATTATTATTAAATTCTTGTGTAATAAAATATTTCACGCTTAAAACAGCGCGTTGCTTTTTCTATTAGGACCATGCATGCGTAGTTTATCCTTCAGCAACGAACACAATTTTATGAAAAATAATTTAATTTCCTATTCCATTATTAGAGATTAATTATCAATTTCATGATCGCTCATTTTAAGCATTACGTTAAAACGTTGTTAGAAATCTTAACTGTCAGTAAGCTCGTAATCGTAAGTCCTAAGTAAGTAATCTGTGGTACAGCGATCACTTTCGATTTTCGCTTAAGTCTGATGTGATATTAGATGTTTTGGAGTTGTTCGTTGTGAACATTGCGGCCAATTAAACTATCGTGAATTATAAAATATTGTGGAAACTGCGCTGCTTATTCCCACTAAGGATATGCCGCCAGTAAAGGATGAAATGTTAGAAGAAACGAATTGTCTAGAAATTATAAACATCACTGAGAAGAGTCCCACAAAAAACAGCGCTCTTGTAGACGTAAGGGCTTGTAACAAACCTGTCGCAAAGGTAAAATTTCAAAAATAAATAATTGTAATTTTAGTTACATTAAATATATTATTCTTATAATCGTGAAAAATTGTAGAGGCACAAAGATATAAATGAAATTTGCATGTTCGACTTAACGACAATTTTCTGAATCACCAATAATCAATTTTCATCTAATGAAAATAATACTAAACAAACAAGAATAACTCCAACTGGGAAACCATTCATAAATTTGAATAATAATAATTATTTCCATTCTTCATTATGTTGGAGACATTTGCTTGCCTTTAATGAAAAAATAAAACTTATCATTTGTTGATAATTCATTTTTAATCTTTAGCAATAACATCACCTGTCTGAAAAGCAACAAGTTAAATCTTCTTAAAAATCTATCTCAGTTTTATAGTATTTTATATCTACATTACATACTACATTGATAATTCATTTTTAATCATTAGCAATAACATCTCCTGTCTAAAAAGCAACAAGTTAAATCTTCTTAAAAATCTATCTCAATTTTATAGTATTTTATATCTACATTACATACTACCTAAAAATAAATTTTGATTACTATGGCAAGACCAGAGCTTGTTCTCCTGTGTAAGCAATAAAAAGAGGAAGTGGCTTGCCATAGTTCCATCAAAGGAATAATAATTGTTAATAAGATCAGAGATTTTAGCAGAAACAATTTATTATGAACAATAAGCAAAATGACACGATAAAAATATGTAATCAATTATTATTTTAAATAATGGGGTAGTAGAATAGAATTTTTCCTAGTTTCTTCATCTACTCATCTCAGTGGTGATATCATTAATCTTCTTTTTTATTTTTTATTGCCTTGAAAAGCAACTAAACCCTTAGTATGAATGGTGCTTAACTAAGTCACTATATAGTCAAAGACTGTTTTCAAACATTTGTAAAAGGATATCTTACAGTGCTCTGGAAATAGAATAGAAAGGAGGTTTATTCTTGAGGTAGATGGTACATGACAAATGATCTTAAAATTATAGCAGTCTTGGGTAGTAGAGAATAAACTCTACTTCAGTGGTGCTAATGCAGAGATTCAAAACATTTCTAGTTTTCTTTTAATTCTGCACATATTTAAAATATTCTTGTGTTCTACTTTTGTATAAAATATGTTCTTTTGTAAAGGTAATTAAGTAAGAAAAAAAGTTTCAGAAGACAAAATAATAAAATTAGAAAAAAAAAACTTCTATTCACTATTTAAAAGATGCACTTTATCTTCACACAGAATCAAGTTTTATTTCAGAAACTAATAAAAAAATTGATAAGTTCAGATAATAACTTCAATATAAATTGAAATTTATTTTTCCCTTCATTTATAGTAGCACACTGCTTAGTGTTTTTTGTGTAAGAAAGTAGAATATGGAATCATTTAATTTATCAAATGAAACCATTGAAACTTAAAGCTTTTACAGTTTTATCAATTTTTAAGCAGCTTATATTATATCTAATATTATATCCACAATTAATAACAATGTTGTATATAACCACAAAAAAGTAAAGGTATTAGAAACATGGGAATTCAATAACAAGAGTTAAACCAAAGTTTAAATTATATCTATTACTCTCAGAATCCATGGTAATACTATATTATTTATAATATGTAATTCCATTTAAATTAATAGCAGAATAGTAAAACACTGCCTTTATCTACTATGATCTAATGGTCATCACAGTGTTCTGTGATGTATAAAAAACATCCTTAACCAATATTAAAATTCTATGCCACCAATCATCTGTTGGTGACATAATGGCAAATCTTCCTTGATATGCCAACAGCTGTATAAATTTTAACTCAATTGAGTGAACAGATCGCACAAAGAACAATCAAATTAAATCTACTTAGAAGAAAATTAGGTTGACTATTCAATTAAATTAAATAAGTTAAAAGTAAAAGGGTTTTAATGGTTGAACAGCTGGTTGAAGTGATTATATGATTGAAACTTCAACCTCATGTCACAAGACCAGCAACTGGATTCACATTATAATTTATATGAGCTCAAGTAACCACACAACCAAGGGATTTAAAGGAAAGCTGATCATTACCACCATGTTAAAAAATAAACAATTACCTGGCCAATGATGCATATGCCAATGTGAATATATTTTCAGGCACTCCAATATTCAATTAAAAAATAATCAGGCGATACATACAAGTTACTTACGTTTTCATTTGCGAAGGTGTGCAGATGAACTACCAACTGTTGAGAGATAATTCATTGCCAGGGGTCATAGACACCGTAATGTTAATTTCGCTGCCATTGTTAGACTAGAAATCAAAGTTTCAGTACGCTCTCATTCTTCAAACTTAATCACGCAATCGCTTCGCCATTAAAATTGGTAAGGTTGTATATAGTAACTGCCGATTGTAGAGTAGTTTCAAACACCACATACGAATTAGAAAACATAACTACAGTAAAATCTCTTTATTCGTGGGGTATATTATGTTCTATAAATATGCCGCAATTACAGAAACTGTGATTATGGAATGTTAATTTACATATATGGAAATAAGTGATACGTTCCTTAGTAAGGTCTACCTATTTTACTTTTTTATTAGATCATCTGACGACGCGTTTAAACAGGACATTTGGTTGGATACCTACATATTGGTATCCTTGTAATTAACATGTACGTACCGATCGTGGATCAAACGAATAAAGAAATGTTTAGCCCTGAAATTAGGAACTGGGTCGCGTTTTTTAATCCGGGAATACTGAAAACAAATGAAGGAAACGCGAATAAGGACATATTATATCTTCTTGAAAACAAAAAAAACTGAGTATCAGTGCATTCACCGTGCCCTAGTTACTTGCTATAAATCGCCAGACTGCTTTTGATCGTCATAATACTTAACAGTAGACTCGACCGTAGGCAGCGGCTTGGCTCTCTCCCTGGCATTGCTGAAGTCCATAGGCGACGGTACCCATTCATCATCAGGTGGGCCGTATGCTCGTCTGCCTACAAGGGCAATAAAAAAAAACTCCCCTGAGAGATGAAATTTAAAGTCGACCGCGTGTTTAGGAAGTATGAACGCTTCCGTTGCCACAGTAATGCGTTAAATCGTATGAATTATTTGTAGGTAACGTAAAAGATTAAGGCGATGCACTAATCCGACAAAACACGTCGTCTCTGCATTGAATTTACAGAGTAAAGTGACGTAACTAAGGCACAACTCAAATAACTATTTATGATTATTTTATTCTTCATACCATGACATAAGTGTTGGGCACTCACAGCACCCTATTTGCGAGGCGGTCGGTGGTAGTGCGTGTTTTTTGTCACGGTTTGTTGACCATCATGTAACCATTCAGACTACTTGGTAAAACGAAAGTGTTACGTTATTGCTAAATGTTTTATTTCGATGCTATTGAGTCATTTTCTTAATTATAGTGTATTATACTTTTAATGGTAGCGTATTATGAATTTGAGAATGTCAGTTATTTGTTTTAAATTCAGAATAAAGGTCATATTACGAATGTTGCAAAGGAATAAAAAAGGAAAGGCGTTTTGATGTTTTTATCGCTTGGGTGAAGCGATGTTAGCTTCGATTCTTCGGATCCCAAAGAAACAGCTACCGCTCTATTTAGGATGCCAAACTGACCTGTGACTAATAGGCACCTCTTGCGTTGCATCAAATCAATCGCCTTTCACAGAGCTTCGCAATAACTTTGACATGAGACATAATTGTAAAGTTCCTTTTTTTTTTGGTCGGGAGGAAATCGCCGGACTCCCGCCCTCCACTGAGGATGGAGGGCGGGGCATGTCGGAGTTGAACCGACTAAAACCTCCTGTCGCTCAACAACCAGCATCCAAACCTCGTATGAGATAGAACTCATGAAAAGGCAAAGGGGGGAAAGTGAAGCGTTTAGTGCGGAGCACATCTCTCCCATCACCCTCCCCCTCGGGACGCCGGACTAGCGGTCGTCGGCACCATGACCACCAGTCCTCTCGGTTGAAAAGTACCTAAGGCTTAACTGCTCAAATGTTAGTTAAATTTTTGACTTCAACGTTACAAATCGTTGCCCAATTGTTACTGCCTCGTTACATTTATTCGAATATCGGGCTAAGTTGCAATAAAGTTTGTTTTTATTACATAATTCAGGTTATATAACAAATCGTATCACTTGTAATTGAAGCCCGATCAGCACACGGTAATCAATTTGGATTTCACTTGCCATCACAAAACGGCTACGTTTCATGTCTTTTCACTTTTTTTTCGTCTGCCGTATACAGTGCTCGTCTCATTTCAAGTGCCTCTACAATTTGATCGCGATCGTTATTAAGCCGCACACAGCACATGTGTAGAATTTTGTAGTCGCGCACATTAATATTTCGTGTACCTTTTTTATTTTTTTTATTTAATGCATCCTTTTTATTTCTTTGAAACTTTCAGTGTTGAGTTACAGTGCGTCATGTTGTGGGGAGCTGGTTTTTTTGTTTGTTTGCGCATACGTTTATAATATGCACTGAATATTATAGTTTGCTGGACGCCTCTACCGTAGTGCATGCATTGTTCTAGCACAGGAGTAGTGTGGAACTGTGGAGTAGACATGACGAATTCACAGGTACTTTTTTTATTTTATTTACATCATCATACAGGATAGTTTTGAATATCCGGGCTATTCCGAAACTCTCATAAAAACGTTTGGATAACGTGTCCACAAATAGTATTCGATAATTAATGTTCTTCTGTATTTTTGTATAGACGAATTGTCTAATTCCGTTTAATAGTAAAAGTGAACAATTTATTGAAATTTATAATTATGCATGCCGCTTTTGCGCTAAAAATACGATGACAGGACATCGAATACAGAATTATCTACATTTCTATTAATTGGTTTTGTTAATTTATTAATGTTACATTATTATTATTTTTATACATTTCTTTACTATTTTAATTTTTTATTCCTAGAACAGAAATAATTTAACCGTTTTGTTCATAGCTAGGATATCAATAACTGTTTCGTAAAATTGTGTTATCGCTCTCCTACTCCAAATCTTGCTTTAGAAAGTCTTAAGAACCATTTGTATTCAATTGTGGAAGACAAAAACAAAAATGTTCGTATTGAATTTAAACTACGCTTCTTCTGACTACGCTCTTCGCTTAAACTCTTTTTAATTGTCCGTAATTAAAGCAAAACTAGCCAAAGACTGTTTTGTGTGTTACGCAAATAGGGTTTAAATTCTCTTAGTTTATTATTCAAAGCGTATACACATTTCGAGGCCAGTTCAATAAAACAGTTGGTAACCTTTTTACAGGCTTTCATTTGATTTGAATACACACACGGCTGGGAATATTTTCGAAATGGTTTTAATTAGTATGTACCTACTGCTGATACCCTGTTATTAATAAAAAATATTGTAGCGAGGGTGTTTTAGTGGTGTGTTTCAAAAGTGAGCCACTGCCGTTTCCCGCGTGAAGTTCAAGAGTAGGCACCAACCAAAAAACCTTCAGCCCGCGGTTGTCGTCACATTTCCATCCTCGTTCTGGTGTCTCTCGCTGTCGTATGTAACAAAAGACCCCATGCCTCCTGTCCTGACCTGACACAACCAAAAAAACACAACCAAGAGTAGGAATAGTTGCACCGTCATCTGTATGTAACAGTAAATCTGAATCCTTAAATAGATAGATACCTTTATGAATACAAAATCACAGCAATTATCTCCACCAGAATAATAAATTCAGTTAGCACACTAATCTCTATTCTATCCTATCTGAACGGAATTATTAATAATATTCACTATACATTCATAAAACATTTATGATGCTTCATTTATTTGGATTTCATTCAGTCATTCAATTTTAAATCTGAACTAACGACGTATCATCCATCGTTAGTCGATTCAAAAATATCAATAACTCGTAAAAGAATGTTTTATTTTTTAAATCTGAATTGTTATAAATTTTTTGCAAATATTTTCGTTTGAATTGTGGAGTCGTACAACTGCATATTTTAACCCTTGTTATAAATTCCGGTTTTTCGATTACTTGCATCGTAATTCTCCACCGTATTTCAAACGGGAACCCCAAAAAAATAGCGGTAAGAAACAGCTTAGCTAAGTTGACCACATAAGATATAACGGACAATAACTATACTAGTGCTCCTATGGTTTTTTTTCCTACTTAATCGTTGATAGCTTCAGGGGGCTATCCTGATGTGGCTCAGCTTGAGAGAATTGCTAATACTGGCTCTAGCAAGGGCAGTGCTTCGCTGAATCTACTGTAGGATCGGAGTTGCGTCCCGCTGAGAAGATCCGCCGAGAAACTCAGTGGGTTGCTCCTAATTGCGGATACTATGCCGTTTTTCTAAAACTGCTCAGTCATTTTTTGGTATTAAGGACGACATTAAAAAAAAAACCTTCATTGGATCATAAAGAATAAATGGGGAATCACTAAACAATTGTACAGTTAAAATAAAATAGTATTTTTATGTCACATTTCGAAAATATTTAATCTACAGCTGTGACAATGTAATGTGAAATCTGTGAAAGAAAAAAAAATGTGACAGCTTTCATTGTCGCACGGGATCCGGAAGCTTGTTAGTGTTGTATACAAACCAGTCTAGATTTTTTTATAACACTAAAAAAAAGACTTATTGCTTGCGTTTTATTACTCTGTGAGCAAGCCAAGCACATATTATGTGAATTGTACCACATAATTTATGAAAATGATGTCGCTTTCTTTTAATATGCTGATGTCATTCGTCTTACTGCATTACTTTTAAGATAAGGAAAAACGTTTCAAATTTTTATTACTCAAAAAAATTCTGAAAAGCTAAATGCTTATTTTTATGGCGGCGAATGGCCAAAAAAACTCACGCTCAATCTGGTGCTAAGCGATTTCCATTGGGACGGTGGGATGGATGTAATGTGCTCTGCGTCAACCCTGTCCCGCCGTTTCAATAGCCCCGACTGGGCTCTGGCTCGGTCCGAGGTAGGGCGCCGGTTGTGAGCGGCAGGAGTTTTTAGTGAGGTTCAACTCCCACATACCCCACCTGCCGCGCGGGTGGGGATCCGGCGATTTTCTCCTGTGGAAAAAAGCGATTTCCATACCTTTACCAAATCTGTCGCCTAGTGGTGGACCTTTGCGACGTAAGTTGGAAATCTTTTAGCATTGTAATACGGCTATTCCCTTCAGACCGGGATGCTATATGACAAAAATACCTGAATATAAAAAAAAATGTAAATATCATATTATAGTTTGTAAAGTTGAAGACCGCATAAAATCGAACGAACCCAATAGTCGACATCGACTTTCATTGGTTCGAAGGTAACAGCTTCTACTGTAAGACTTGTAAGAGTATCTATGAACGATAGTAAAGCGCGTGGTGAGCTAGGCGTTCGGTTTTAAATGGCGCTGGAAAGTCCTTATAAAATATAAATGAGACTTCAGTGTCATATCCCAAGATATGTGGCAGTTTTCGGAATTGATTGTATGAGCTCCGAAAACCACTTAACTCTAAATGGAACTTGATTTCGTAAATATCTATCGTATTAACACACAGACAACCTAGCCCATTAATCTATATATTAATACGTGAAGCAAAAACTTTGTACTCCTAAAAGCACACTAAATCAATAAAAAAAATACTACACACACTACCATGTATTTGAAACACACACACACACATACATATATATATGTACTCTATATTTATTTTGAAACTTTTGTAATTGCTCAGTCTGTAGTCAAATAGAGAATAGGTTAATATTGTTTATCTTAAACGTTATTTGTCTACAGTTTAGTCTTGGCAAAATCTGTGATTATAGAAGTCTTTGACAATAGAACCTTAATAATGTTCAAACTTATCATTTCAATTAATTATAGTCGAATTTCGACTGCAGCGGGAACACTAGTATAGTATAATCGTATTAAGTAAGACATGTAAAATAATATTGAAATTAAAATTTAAGGTATGGTTCCGCGGTGTCAGGAGTTCCAAGTTCCGCCACGTGTACGGCGTGCCGTTTAAAAGGGAGCGTTGCTATGACAACGTAAAGATAACGCGGAATGCGCACGATTCCAATTTCTGCGCGGTCAACCCTAAGTTCGTTGCTATAGTTACCGAGGTCGCCGGCGGTGGCGCTTTTCTTGTGCTACCCCTAGATCACGTAAGTACAAAAAATTATACAAAATGTAATGTTAACAAGAAGACTAAGGACCTAATTTAAAATAACATTCAATTTAACGATCTTTAAAATTAATTTCCTTAGTTGTAGTTATTACGTTATACATATAATAACGGCTTATGTTAAGTGTTGTATATACATATACCTAAAGTATAGATGGAAGGGCTTACGGCCCCATCTGCTGTCCTACAGCTAGCGGAGCCCATAGACAAAACTGCCTGCATGTCTCTACCATTATGTGTCCGAATAAAATATATTTCGAATTATAATAAAATTGGAAACATTAACCGTATTGGTCCTATCATTACAAGATTTCCACTGTCGTAATACCCTTAAGAACGTATGTATGTATGTATAACAGTTTGCGTCATTGTTGGCGCCAAACCCTGTTTGCTTGGTATCAATATTTGCCTATTGACCAGCCTTATTGACCAATGTCCATATATGTAATATGGTACAGAAATATTAATTGACCTTGATAGTCACTTATGAAGCAAAAACATAGATGTTTTCTGTTTTAAATTCTAATTGAATTAACAAACGGGTAATTTTTCATTGATCGATACAGTGAAGATAAAAATTGCGGTATTTAAATTGTAACATATTAGATTTTTGCTAAAATAGTAACTGCAGGTGGCACACGAGCTTTTTAAACCAAAGCAAAAGAACACTGTTACATTAGTATGTAGTAAGTAGCACTCGGAAAGAAATAAGTAAATTATACAAATAAATTTATTTAAGGTTTATAATTTTTACTTTTTGGTATCACCTGTATGCACTTTATTCTATTGCTCAAGCGGGTTAACGAGCTCACGTTCCACCTGGTGTTCAGATTTACTGGAGCCCATAGACATCAACAACGTAAATTCTGTCACCCGCCTTGTGACTCGAGTGCTAAGTTTCGGTGGTATCTACCCGGTTCAACATATTTAATGCGAAGAAGTTGTATTGTTCTAAATGTTCGCAGACCGGTCGTTTGGACTTCAACGCGAGCAGAGTTACAGGTCACAAAGGCCCCGTTTTGGACATCAAGTGGAACCCGTTCAACGACAACATAATCGCTTCGTGCTCTGATGATTGCACGGTAATTTCATTTCAAACACTTCAATATTTTTTTCTTCTTCATATTTTTGCACCAACTACATATTTGGTGTTTATAATTGAAGTCAATTACGTACGGGATGTTTTTCGTTCGATCAATCGCGTTTTGTACTATAGCAATAATATATGAAAGTGTTCATCAGGTGCGGAGATCAGTAAGGTATGTTTGTAAAATTAATTTCTAATGTTTTCGTAGCCGTATTGTAGATGTTAAAGTACTACGGTTTAATATCTCGGATAATTATTAGGTAGACGCCCATGACCGTGAAAAGTGTAAAGGATGTTAAATATCCCAAATTATAAAATGATTAAAATATACGGAAGCTTAAATCGTTAGTCAGATTAGATTAAGGAGTTAAATCAATACCAAACATACTGGTATTCAGAATACATCAACACTGACATAATGGCTTGAGTACGAAACCCAATGATTAGTAAAGAAAAATCGTCGTCATGACCAACTAGAATATTTTAAAAATAAGAACACTACACTACGAGTATTAGTTTACTGTGTATGCTGCTATTTTAACAAGCGGACATACTTTTTGTTGCCGAATATTGATTTCGCTATCTTATCGACTAGTTTTTGCTTCGTATTCACACCATAGTTATCTGATAGCCGTTATCTACCATATTGAGTGTCACGACGACATACATTCCATAATCGGTCAAAAGTTGTGTTACTGAATGACGTCATTGTGTGATTGCTACGGTAATAAATAGTTGAATATAGATTTTTTTTATTTACCATTTTTAATTTAGCGCAAGAAATGGTCGGTGTGCAATTTGATTAAACTATTTCGTATTAACGGTCTCAATTGAATTGTTCTTATATGTTTAAGTATCTTCAGTACCTATAGAACACGAGATAAATCAAACATTTGGAACGTATATATTTGGAAAAACAAGCTCGTTATGACGTCACGAAAATCTGACGAATACAAACTGAAATAAAAATTAAAAACATCAAAAATATAGTCTTGAATGGATGAACTTTACCAGATCGGAGGACCTCTGTCACGAACTAAGAGGTCACCGCACCGAATTAGAGGCAATTTAGCAAAATCTCATTTCCTCATTTGTCTCTTACCGGAAATCTAACCGGGACTATGGTTGTTATAATCGAATCCTGTCTTTTATCTACGATTCTAGATTTTTTCTGACATAATAGTGACCTTGTATGAGTTAAATTCGAATATATTTATTTATTGCCTAGATTGAAACGTGAGATTCAAATGTCAGTTGTATTGTTTTTTTTTTATTGCTTAGATTGGTGGACGAGCTCACAGCCCACCTGGTTGTTAAGACTGGTTACTGGAGCCCATAGATATCTACGACGTAAATGCGCCACCCACCTTGAGATATAAGTTCTAAGGTCTCAAGTATAGTTACAACGGCTGCCCCACCTTTTAAACCGAAACGTATTACTGCTTCACGGCAGAAAAAGCAGGGTGGTGGTACCTATCCGTGCAGACTCACAAGAATTCCTACCACCAGTAAGAAATCAGTTTAAAGGTTATCCCCCATTTTAAGCTAGAATGTTTGATGGCTTAAACAGAAACAAATAGGATGTTAGAAACTGATAGTGCCTGGTTCACGATGTGACCTATAAAATGTTTTGACCAGGTTAAACTATGGCACATACCGGACGGTGGTCTCTCAATGCACTTGACCGAGTGGCTGGTGGAACTGCACGGTCACAAGAGACGCGTCGCCTACATCGAGTGGCATCCGACGGCCGAGAACATACTGCTCAGCGCTGGATTCGATTCCCTGGTGAGATTTAATATCGCGCTCTAACAATTTAACGGGAAGCTTTGTGTGCTGGTAATGTAAGTTTAGACTTATTAGATAATTAATTTTTCAGTGCCGAAATGATTTTTCAAATGAACACATCCCAATTTAACCCTAAAACTGTGTTTAATGATATCAGCACAAGTACGCCCCTGCAGGGCCGGATTTAAACTTAATGCCGCTCCTGGGCACCGAAAAAAAATTCGCCCCAATAATGAACTTCTTCAACTTTACTATAAACGTTATTATAATATGTTATATATTCCAATAACATAAATAAACATATGTGTTATTTTTAACAATTATAAATTTGACACTAAAGCTGACTCATAATTATAAATGAAAAATTTTTTTATTGTTTAATTGTGATAAATAAAAAAATCGATTATTATTTCAAATCTCCAAGGAAATAAATTGATTAAATCATTTTGATTATTAATTTGACCAAAAGTGCCAAAATTATAATTCACAAATAATGGATGAATTGAATTTCTTGAATTATCAATTAAACAGAAAATTCTTAATTTATAGAATTAATTAATTACATAGAGCAATCTAGATAAAAAAAAAAAAATCACTTCTAAAATTTAACTACCTTAAAAAAATTGCCGCCCTGGGCACTAGCCCCGACTGCCCCTAGTGTAAATTCACCACTGCTCCCCTGTGTACTTACTTGGATACACGCGAAGGACTGCGCATTGTGTCTAGTTAAAAAAAAACCGCCCTATCGCCGTATACATCGCGATGTTATTCCAGGCAATGCCGTTTGATGGCGACCGTTATTCATAAATGTAAATCGATTCATTGAAATGGTACGCGATCTTGAACTGTTGACCCGATTTCGTGTTTGCAAAATTAAATTGCCTGTTAAGTTTTCAGTTATAGTTAAACATAAGTCACGATAGCACCAAGATTGGATTAGAAATGTGATACTGTTCTCCTATACTAACGTATAAGACTACTATAGAGCTCACGGGTCACCGATTTTGGTTTTTTTGTAGAAACTTTACGTATTAAGTTAAAGGGCAAATGCCGTCATATAACTTAATACGTAAAGTCGAAATCTTAATTCAATAGACATAAGTAGAACATTACTATCAGATATGCGAGGCCACAACAATCACCACTAGTGTGGAAGGGCAAATATATTTCGTAGCTGATGTGATTTGTAACTTGATGAAACGAAAAAGCGACACTAGAAAGAGACAAACATTTATAGGATTTAACCATCGAGAGAACGAGATGGAATACATGTGATCGTTTAAGTAATACCGCGTGCAAAATGCACTCATGTTTCTTTCAATATAAATAAGTGTACTTAAATACCGACGTCTAATCTATTTCTGCCGATCCTCTATTCTCATAGCACAAGTTAGCGATATTTTCCATAGAAAATTAACCAGCTTCCTATCTGTTTTAAAATATATTCAATATTTCTATTTCAATACTGATAAGTTTTATGTTCGGTGGTGGTTTTAACATTGTATATTTACCAGTCCTTCGCCTAATAAAGACGTACTCTCGCCTTGAGTTGTTAGGTCTCTTTCGAAGGCGCTCGGGCAGTTGTTAGCAAATCCCACCCCTCCTGACTGAGCCTTTGCTCGTCCACCTGTCCTGGTGAAACTGGAAAGGCCTCCGGGCCACCAGTAATCCTTCAATTATAAAAAAAATTGTGTGGTGTCGTGGGACATCGGATAGGCACGAAGTTCCTTATTATAAAAAATATTAATTTTAAGTTCTATTCGAGGGATAAAGAAAATAAAACTGGAGGTGTCCTAACAACCCACGGTCATTCGGTAACGTGCGAACTTATTGTGGTACACTTCATTGACGGTTGTTTGCATAAGAGTTAGTGTTTTGCGCAAACGAACGTTCTGAGATCGTGGTCAATGAATGATAAAAAAATATGTTATTTTTTTTACGTTATTACAAAGTTAAGTCGTACACTGTGTGCATTACTAATTTGTACGTTATTACAAACTTAAGTCGTACACTGTGTGCATTACTAATAAAAATCTTACGTTACGGACGCTTTTTCCCGATTAGGGTACCCCTCCGCATCGTCCCATAAGGAACTTCGTTCCAAAAAAAACATACTCTCGCATTCTAGATAATCGTCTGGGACGTGGGCAAGGGGGAGGCTGTGAAGCTGATCGACTGCCACAGCGACGTGATCTACTGCATGTCGTTCAACAGGGACGGCTCGCTCTTGGCGACCACCTGCAAGGATAAGAAACTGCGGGTCATCGAACCCCGGCGGGGGATCGTGCTCTCGGTAAGTAGCGCTATACATCTTTTTTTTATTGCTTAGATGGGTGGACGAGCTCACAGGCCAAGTGTTAAGTGGTTACTGTAGCCCATAGACATCTACAACGTAAATCTGTCACCCACCTTGAGATATAAGCTCTAAGATCTCAGTATAGTTACAACGGCTGCCCTAGCCTTCAGACCGAAACGCATTACTGCTTCACGACAGAAATAGGTAGGGTGTTGGTACCTACCCGCGCGGACTCACAAGATATTCGATTACCTTAAACCAGTGGTGGGCAAACTTATTAACCAAAGAGCCAAATATGCAAAATAAAAAGACTTAAAAAAATTGAGAGCTAAATCTGTTTGTAAACGTAGTAAACATTTATTATTGCAAATCATAAAATAAATGCTATATTGCATACCGCTTCGATTGATATATATAATAATTGACATCAGTCTGGGGCGCTGATATTAAATGACCGTACATACTATTAACCGGCTTTTTCGTCCACAGCCAGATAACACAGCTTTTTTATTTTGATTTTGATAACATTAGAGGCCGTGGAAGCCCGTAGGATATTTTTCCCAGAGCCACACTCAAGAGTTCAAAGAGCCGCACTTTGCCGAACTCTGCCTTAAACACCAGCCAGATGATCAGATCTAGCAAGAGAAGCACTTGGTGGTAATCTGTACCATGCAGTCCATGCCACCTATGATCGAGCACAGTGGAAGAACGTCACATGTGGTCGCGATCCTCAGTAGTGAGGGAACGATATAGAAGAAGCCTTAGACTAATAATATAAAATATTTAATTTTACAGGAAGGTCACTGCCACCTGGGCACGAAGGCGTCGAAGTGCACGTTCCTGGGCAGCCGGGGTCGCGTGGTGACGACCGGCTTCTCGCGGCACAGCGACCGCCAGTACGCCGTGTGGGACCAGCACGACCTCGCCAAGCCGCTCGTCTGCGAGACCATCGACAGCTCCTCGGGGGTCGTCTTCCCGTACTATGACCACGACACTAACATGGTTAGCTCCCGAACTATGTCCGACTGACTTCACGTGTAACGTCGCCTTGAAGAGGGCTGGTGGTAGAAATTTAATAAATTAATTTAATTTTCGAAGTCGTCGTGGCCTAAAGGATAAGACGTCTGGTGTATTCGTATCTAGCGATGCACCGGTGTTCGAATCCCACAGGTGGGTACCCATTTTTCTAATAAAATACGTACTCAACAAATGTTCACGATTGACTTCCACGGTGAAGGCATACATCGTGTAATAAAAATCAAACCCGCAAAAATTATTATTTGCGTAATTACTGGTGGTAGGACCTCTTGTGAGTCCGCGCGGGTAGGTACCACCGCCTTGCCTGTTTCTGCAGTGAAGCAGTAATGCGATTCAGCTTGAAGGATGAGGCAGCCGTTGTAACTATAGTTGAGACCTTAGGACTTATATCTCAAGGTTGCATAGCGGCATTTACGTTGTAGATGTCTATGGGCTCCAGTACCTACTTAACATCATGTGGGCTGTGACCTTGTACTCCCATCTAAGCAATAAAATCAAATAAAAAACTATTGATATGAAATCTGAATTACAATCAAGGCAGCTAGGTATACAGAGTTGTGTTTAGAGATATTCTACAATCGATAATTTTTGTTAAGAAAGTAAAATAACTTACATAATATATTGATGAGATGAACAGGAGAGGAAAAGCAAGTGATCGAAAACCAAGACAGCTACTGAATTTTTATAATTCGACTACATGGTAAAACGATGTTGTTTTCGTAGTGACCTTGATGATCGCATCACGAGATTCGAAGTGCAATAAAAAAAATGAAATGAAAATAAATGTTGATCCATTAAAGATTAATAAAGTGGCGGTTTGAGATTAATCAAAAACTATATGGTATAAATAATAATCCTAGGATTGCTCTAATTCAATTTATTGGTAAATTTATTTGCAGCTTCACTTATTAGTCACCTTTACTAACAGGTATACCTGGCCGGCAAAGGCGACGGGAACATCAGATATTACGAAGTGGTCGACGAGCCGCCTTACGTGCACTTCCTCAATCAATTCCTGTCTGGGAACCCGCAGGTACAAAAATACTGCTTCTAAAATCTCTATATATAAAAATGAATTGCTGTTTGTTAGTCTCGCTAAAACTCGAGAACGGCTGGACCGATTTAGCTAATATTGGTCTTGAATTATTTGTGGAAGTCTAGAGAAAGTTTAAAGGGTAGATAAATATGAAAATGCTCAGAATTAAATAAAAATAACAATTTTGTATTTCTTTTGTTGTGTTCACCGTCAGACCGATTCCTTTTGTTTGTTTTAAGTTTATTTTATACAAAGCTTTAGGTCTTTTACTTATCGATTGAGGCACTACGAAGTCTACCGGGTCAGCTAGTATATTATAAATAATATAATATATGACAAAGTAAGCAGTGACGTCAGAGATTGATGGCATCAGCGACTGACGCCACATTGTTATTACAAACCTTGACATGCTGTTCGTTGTTGTAATTACCTTCCATAATAACAGTAAATAAGACTCACTTTTCCAATGAATTCTATTTATTGAATTTCAAGCGTACAAACACAGAGCTCCGCCTCGTGTTGTGCGAATACAACTATTTAAACCGTATAATAATATAATATAGGATTACTAATAGCTATAGACAGATGTTTGCCATTGATTAAATTCAGTATTTATTGAAAAATGTTCAAATTAGAATAACAACAAAATTGTGTGAAATGACAATATCTTGTCTTATTTATTGTGCAATAAAAGTATGTGCAAATAAATATATGAAATGCAATTGAGTATATCTCAATAAATCACTTCGTTAATATATAGATTAATGTGGTGTTGATTTTTTTTTTACAATACGAAATATTTACACCATTTTTAAAGTAACCATATAGTGTAGTATCATGCAAAGCTCCAAAGCAGACACGTAAATGTTATTTATTGGTAGTAAGACCTCTTGTGAGTCCGCACGGATGGGTAGGTACCACCTCCCCACCTATTTCTGCCGTGAAGCAGTAATGCGTTTCGGTTTGAAGGGTGGGGTAGCCGTTGTAATTATACTGAGACCTTAGAACTCATATCTCAAGGTGGGTGGCGCATTTACATAGTAGATGTCTATGGGCTCTAGTAACTACTTAACACCAGGTGGGCTGTGAGCTCGCCCACCCATCTAAACAATTAAAAAAAGTAAAGGACTTAAATATATAATTAGAGGGGATGTTTGTTTTTTGTTACAGCGCGGGCTGGGCTTCATGCCGAAGCGCGGGGTGAACACGAGCGCGTGCGAGGTGTTCCGGTTCTACAAGCTGCACACCTCCAGGGGCCTCTGCGAGCCGATCTCGATGATAGTGCCAAGGAAGTCGGACTGCTTCCAGGTTCGTATGTCGTATCACTCTTTTTTTTTTGCTTAGATGTGTGGATGATCTCACAACCCACCCGGTGCTAAGTGGTTACCGGAGCCCATAAACATTTACAGAGTAAATGCCGCCACCCACCTTGAGACATGAGTTGTGAGGTCTCAGTATAGTTACAACGACTGCCCAACCCTTTAAACTGAAACGCATTACTGCTTCACGGCAGAAATAGGCGGGGCGGTGGTACCTACCCGTGTGGACTCAGAAGAGGTCCTACTACCAGTAGAAGTTGTCAGAGCGGTCGTGGTCGTCATTAAGTATCATTGCGTGGGCAGATGTTGTGCGCCTCACGAGCAATCGCCACTCCTCCCGGTTTGTGGTGAGTCTGGTACACTCATGCAAACAGCCGCAGACTTGATCTGGTCGGTCCACCGCATGGGCAACCTTCCACGCGGTCTGGTGCCCTCTACTTTGCCCTGAACAACAAGGCGCTCTATGGAGTCATTTTTGTAAGTCGTCGTGGCCTAAAGGATAAGACGTCCGAATCGTCGACGAATCGAAGACGTCCGATGTTCGAGTCCCGCAGGCGGGTACCAATTTTTCTAATGAAATACGTACTGAACAAATGTTTACGATTGACTTCCACGGTAAAGGAATAAAACATCGTGTAATAAAAATTAAACCCGCAAAATTATAATTTGCGTAATTACTGGTGGTAGGACCTCTTGTAAGTCCGCGCGGGTAGGTAGCACCGCCTTACTTATTTCTGCCGTAAAGCAGTAATGCGTTTTGGTATGAAGGGTGGGGCAGCCGTTGTAACTATACTGAGACCTTAGAACTTATATCTCAAGGTGGGTGGCGCATTTACGTTGTAGATATCTATGGGGTCCAGTAACCACTTAATACCAGGTGGCCTGTGAGCTCGTCCACCCATCTAAGCAATAAAAAAAAAGGTGTGGCAGTCGTTGTTCTATGGAACTAAAACTTAGAACTCTTGTATACTCATATAGTTGGGTGTCAGCATTTACGTTGTTGATGTCTATGGGCTCCAGTAACCTCTTAACACCGAGTGGGTTGTCATCTCGAATATCCATCCAACAAATAAATAATCCGTACAAGGAATAAGTTTGATAAACCTTTCATGAATAATTTTATAAATAAGTGTTTTTTTGACAATACATTCAAAATTTTTAATTAAATTATTAATATTAAATTAAAACTGTGGTACAATAAAATAGAGACTTTGTGTCCAACATGTCAACTAAAACCGATCTGTATAATTTATAATATGAAACAGTTTAAAGCATTGGTCAATTCAATATTCGAACGATTATTTGACTATATCCATTGACCCCACAGGAAGACTTGTACCCCGACACGGCCGCCCCCCTGCCCTCGTTGACTGCGAAGGACTGGTTGAGCGGAATGAACGCACCTCCACTCTTAATCAGTATGAAAACAGGTAAATTTCAAAACATTATCACACGATTTGATTTTTATAAAAATTACAGCTATTTACACAGACTTAATTTATTTATCGACTAAACGTGAGGATTCGTAAGATTCTACTTTAATATCATATTTGTAATTAACTAGCCTCAATCAATCTACACGAAACTTTGTGTGAAGATTGAAGCCTTTTTTTTATTTTTATATTGCTTAGATGGGTAGACAAGCTCACAGCCCACCCGGTGTTAAGTGGTTACTGGAGCCCATAGACATCTACAACGTAAATGCGCCACCCACCTTAAGATATAAGTTCTAATGTCTCAGTAGGCAGTTGTGCAGAAGGCAACGGGAAACCACTGCACTAATTTCCCACGAGAGTCATGAGCAGGTCGTATCCGACTGATGCATGACCACGACCACTCTGTCAAGAGTGTACGAATAGGAAGAAAGTCTCAGTATAGTTACAACAGCTGCCCCGCCCTTCAAACCGAAACGCATTACTTCACGGTAGAAATAGGCAGGTACCTACCCGCGCGGACTCACAAGAGGTCCTACCACCAGTAAACTAGTAACATTCGGTCTACAGGAGTGACGATATCGACACACAAGCCGAGTACAGGCAACAAGGACGCCCCCGCGCTGCAACCTCAGGACGTGAACAACAGAAAGAAGTTTATGTTCCTCTCGCGCGAAACCACACCCGACTACCGCCCTCTCAACGCCTGCCCGAACGCACTCAATCACAACAATGAAAATGAGGTAAGGAAACCAAAATCGAATTTCCACGACTCGACCGACTACATGTCGAGGGGTGAAAGGTTTAAGTTTAGAAAGGCTTAAGCGACATTTTTACATTTATACATAACCTTCCTCTTCAATCACTTTATCTATTAAAAAAAACCGCATCAAAATCCGTTGGCTAATTTTAAAGATTTAAGCATACATAGGGATATAGGGACAGAGAAAGCGACTTTGTTTTATACTATTTATTATACCTAATGAAGGAATAAAAAATAAGGCCATGTATTAACTTTATCGCAGATAAGACACACTTCTTGAATCTTTCACTTCATCAACGAGGGAAGAGAACGCCTGCATGGCGTTAAGTTCGCTTTGTACACTATTTTTGTGCAATAAAGAATTTTCAATCAATCAATCAATCAAGGATTTTTAAAAAATATATACTTTTATTTGTCTATATAAATAATTTAAAAAACATATGAATGGTGAAGAGGTAGTTTCTCTTATAAACAGCGTTCCCTATAAGAAGAGAAATTTGATTTAAGGATGAAAAATAAAAAAAACCGCAATACTACCACACCACAGAAGTGGTTACTTCTTTCACATGCACCAAGTTTAACTTATTACATTGAATAAGACATGCAGCTTAAATAAATAAATATGAATTAGACGTTAACAAATTAAATTTGTGTTTTAATTAGATACAAGTGAACGAGAAATCGCAAAAGACGAACGCCAATCAGAACACGAAGTTCCATCAGCTTCAACGCATGTTCGGCAAGCAGACGAACGACGCGGAGCCGGTGCCCCTCTACAAGCAGATCAACCAGGGAGACGTTTTCAGCACCGAGCACGAGGTTACTACGCCAACATTTAACTGTTTTTCTGGTGGTAGGAGATCTTGAGTCCGCACAAGTAGGAGTACCACCACCCTGCCTATTTCTGCCCGTGAAGCAGTAACGCGGTTTGAAGGGTAGGGCAGCCGTTGTACTGTTAAAACTGAGACTTATTTCTAGTACTCACACAGACGACGTAACTTTTGTTATTATATAGGGCATTAGAAATAAATAGGCTTACATAATGGTCTTTCCGATATCACGTTCACTCTGACTTTTTCACCATGGAAGCTCAGGTCAATGATCTCACTTCATAATATTTTTTCAAATCGGAACGCTTGATTCAGATATAAGCAGCAGTTTATTAATTTATTAAACTGTTCTATTACAGCTGCGCCTGGCCTTCAATCGTCAAGGAGAAGAACTGAGGATCGTGAAGAGGCAGCTTCAGAACAGTCAACAGAGAGTGCGGGAGCTGGAACAGCACGTCGCCGCTCTGCAAGCCAAGCTGCAGTGAAACGAATATTGCCATTCGCTTAATACGCTAACATCATGAGGCCTTTGAATATTTATTTAATTTTAGTACTAGCATATTAGTGTTGCCACAAGAAGCTAGCTCTCGCGAATCTTGTCTTATTTTTGCTATAGTTGAATAGGGTTAACGTAATAATTCTTGCAAGTTTCTTAGATTGACATTGACGTTTTAGATTTTATTTGACAGCTACATACAGACGGTCACGATTCCTTTGAATATTTTATATCGACGGATGAAAGACTATTTGGTAATAGCATCAACAATTCGATATTTATAATCTATTTACAACTGAAGACATCAGTGGATGAAGGGGATATGATACAAATTCTTAATTTTGAGAAACCGGGCAATAAAGTTTTGTTACTTGCACTTTTATTTCGTACATAACTCCTTCGTCATATGCAATTTCTAAAAATAGCCTTTCAACCCGGAGCTTTAAGGTCTAATATAGTTTATGGGCACATAACACTTTCATTCAATGTAAAAACTCAAAAATCTTAAAAATTGTACTTAACCGCTTCATCCACTCATGTCTTCAATTATGTTTACAACATTAAAATAGCTAATGAGCAAAAAATTCCCTTAAACCAAATAACCTTACACTCTTCAATATAATGGAAATATGTATCTTTAATCTATACATTTGAATGTCAGACACTCGCGACCTCCACGGCTAAGGGCTACTAAATAATAAAAGTTTACTCGTATGGTCGTTTATTACACGTTTTATTATTAGACATTTATTGAATAGTGTCATAATATTGTCATGAAATAATAAAAAAAAGTATTATATTATGTAACTTTATAATTTTCTACGACTTTTGGGATCAAATGCAGTTTTTACTTAGAAAGTCGTTGACTTTATGTAGAGTTGTATGAACAGAAAACCTTTAGTGTTTTTTTGTTTTACATTATTATATTACCATGACAAATAAATATTACGTCACAAATATTTTTTCTGTGATTTGTATTTGCATCGCATTTTGTACTGTGCAATCGAAATCAGGGTTTTTTTTTATAATTTTACTTGTCTGATTTGTGATGTCCGTTTTCGGTGTATTGCACTTTTATTTCGAGCGCACATTTTTTTTTTTTCAATTAAGTTGATGTTAGTGATTATTTTAAGTCTGAATTATGATTAATGTTACATGTTATTATATTTTGATGTTATTTTTTTTGTACGAAATAATTAATACATTCGCTAGCATGTAAGCTTGAATCGAGTATCCAGTTTTGAAAACAATATGATTGTACAAAAATTACCTGATATTTTGTACATAATATTAGTGCTAAGAATTTGTCGATAGCATTAGACGCGTAGGGTTCGTATTAACCTACAAGCTAAATTTCTGTAGTGTTGTAGTTCGTTTGACGAATATTTAAAACTATCTTTTAAAACATGCCTCAATTGTCATTCTTCAAAGGCATTTTAACCGAAAGCTAAACTTATTAAATGACTTTCTTATAAGTGAAGGTGTTTATCGCTTTGGTATCGCTATTTTGACTTGCTAACTATGAAAAGAAAATATAGGAATGGAAGTATGATTTTAATAAATTCGTTTTCAATTTCGAGGAATTTAAAATGACATTGGTACAGGGTGTATTGTAATCGTAATTGAAGGAGTCTAATGGAATACACCTAAGCTGAAAAAATATACAAATCTATGTATCATTTTTATACATTCATACTTTGTGTCTGTAAGTCATGAAGATAAGTTGTCAATGAAACTGAGTCTGGAACGGTTACAACAACACCCTGCACCACACTTTACATTTGTATCTAAAAAAAAAGTTTTTGAGCTTTAATTATAATTATACATTCCAGTTTGCAATATAATGTTATTGCATGAAGTGGTGATCGGAAAATAAAAAGTATTAATATGTATTAGCTGGCTAGTTTGTAATTACTTGGCAATGTTAGTGTCAATGTTTATTGTCAACATGTATTTTTTTATATAATGCTTGAATGTAGCACAAATTTTCAATAAATGTTTGAATGAGAGTTTCATTTAATTTAAAAACATGAGAATATCATAAATGTTTTATTGAAATATTATCTAAAATTGATTTACATCTTATAAAAAAAAAAACAGTGACGACTTGTGATATAAAGCATATTAACAAAATCTAACTAATCAGTACAGTTGTAAAAATATTTTATAAAAATCACAACATAGAACACAAATGGACGGATACAAATTTTATCAAATATGGAATGAATGTACTCTTACGTTTATAAAATATTAAAACATTTAAAAGATACTAAATGTCAACACAAATACTCCTAAAAATAGAAATAATATAGATACACCAATATTGGAAGCAGAATTGCAACCATCTGTGCTACAAGTGTAGATGCAAGTTCTATATTCTAATTTGTCTCCCCGTTGTCTGACATAATCACAGTAGTTGCCAAGGTCTAATGACGAACAGAATCTCTTTGTGCTTATACCACCTAGAAATATAAATACGAAATTAGATAATTAGGAACAACAGTAAGATATTTATGAAGTTTAAAATTTCATATAAATTTACTCTTAATATTTCTTATTGACAACATATGATAGTGTATTTAGATTATCTACATAAACCTGACAGAGTGTAGACCTTACAAAGTATGAAACATGCAACATATGGACAGGGGATTTTAACTAATTGACATTAGGAACTAGTAATTTCTCAACATATTATAATCAACTCATGACTTTCCTTTCATAAGCCAGTGTTAGTGGTATTTAGTACCTACATAATCCTATACTTCTATAAGGTGTGAATCTGCCCAAGTGGGTAGTATTGTATTTCTGTCACAAAGCAATCTTAGTTCCCGTTTGAAAAGTAGGATACCCATGATTAGTATTCAGTTCGGTTCCCTCTGTATTTTGTACCGTATGTTCCATGGGGAGTGCTCTGAGGAATTGTTCGAGATGATACCGGCATCTCGTTTTTACCATCGCACCGCCCGCCACCGGAGTAGAGTTCATCCATACTACCTGGAGCCACTGCGGTCATCCACAGTGCGTTTCCAGAGGTCTTTTTTGCCACGTACCATCCGGCTATGGAATGAGCTCCCCTCCACGGTGTTTCCCGAGCGCTATGACATGTCCTTCTTCAAACGAGGCTTGTGGAGAGTATTAAACGGTAGGCAGCGGCTTGGCTCTGCCCCTGGCATTGCTGAAGTCCATGGGCGACGGTAACCACTCACCATCAGGTGGGCCGTATGCTCGACTGCCTACAAGGCCAATAAAAAAAAAAAAAAAAAAAGTTGAACATATGAACCTTAAACCTCTACAACTAGAGGTGAGTAGTGAATTCATGTAATGAAATTATTGTTATTATAAATAATAGTGGTTGACATCATTTCTTATTGACATTGATTGACATTGTAGGCAGATACTGTCACACAGCGACATCAACAATGCAAGGCGCATGACCAAGTTACTCCTTTCAATGGATACATTTTGCTCATTTATTTGGCTACGGGCTAGTGAATTAACCCACAGCTAACTGGTATTGAGTGATTACTAGAACCCATAGATAGACCTCACAACTTGAATATCACAACTCACTTTTAAATTTCCAGTCAATACACATCCCAAAATGATTATTTTACAAGAGCTGAGTTTTCAATTATCTGATAAATTTACATCCTTAAAACTATGTTTGTAAGAATAAAATAAATTTATTATATTGTCAGTTTATATTTCACTTGATAGCTTTTATATGATGATTAAATATCAGCTCTGTAACAGTTTTCATAATAATTTAGTAGATAAATGAAGTACCAAGTTAGTTGAATCTACAAATTTGAACTAATACTTACAAAATGTACATTCCCAACACCTGTTAGTAAATTTTGTTGTGACTCATGTGCTGTAAAACTAAAACACAGTGCATTAGTGATATTAAAGAAACTAAGTAGACATTTTGAGTTAGTATCTAGTTTATTTACTGGTATTTTGAAACATTCTATTATGTACTGAAACAGAAATAATGTAGTATGGTTACATAGCAAAGCCTATGTAACATAAGATAATTTTGCGAAATTTGTAATGATAAAGAATAGTATTTATTATTTAAAATGTTTGGCTCTCATATTTTGAAACACATGTTTGGTGCATTTTTTCATTTGTGTTAACTATCAAACAATTTAAGCAGTGCTCGAAAAGCTAGTTCATACATGCAAACCATAGACTAAACACAACATCACACAGTGAAACCTGTATGTTTGATGCAGTAACGTGCATCATAGACATGATCACATGGCATTGGCTTCAATATCCCACCATCCAATTTCATCAGACCATCACCGCACTCCATAGTTGAAGAAGTATTACACTGGTAACATTCTATTGTTAAACCTATATTTGAATGATTGTTAATTTTTGTTGTTTATAAAATACCATTTTTTTAGGAAATCTCTGCACACATTTTTTTTAATGTTTAGTCTGATAGCAAGTTTATTTCAAATTTTCTTATTGTCTCAATATCAATTTATTTTTTGTTCAGCTGTGCCTTTACAATTTCAAACTATCACAACTTTACCACTCGATTGGCACAGGGACATTTATATAGTATCATTCTTTTAACTGGTGGTAGGGCTTCTTGAGCCCACATAGATTGGTACCACTCTGTCCATTTCTTCTGTGAAACTGTAATGAGTTTCAATTTCATAGATGGAACAGCCCTTAACTGAGACTTAGAACTCATGTCTCAAGGTGGAAAGTAGTATTTACATTGTTGATTTTAATATGTGTAAATGTAACAATCAAAATTGTTTAATTAGACATAATTTTTTGAAGAATGGTTAAAGGTAACTCGTAATAAGATAGAAAATTGCCAAATTTAGACAGAATATTTTAACTGCTAGTTTTAATACTTAATTATTTGCTCCCAGTGTTATCTCAGTCACAACAGGAAACCTAACTTAATATAAGATCCATTTACTAAAAATGCATAATTGGTTAATTTCTAAATAGAATGCTTATATTTTATCAATATATTAGTATCAGTATATAAGTTGTAATCGATGTTAGTTACCATAAAAATATCTAAGTTATTTTTGACAAAAAATGTCTTGTGTTAGTATCAAAAGGCTACCAGATTTTTTAGGTTTATTAGTGAGTCAGTTGTCCTGAAGTCTCACCTTCAAACCTTCCGACGTGTTTTATGCAGTATTGAGCATCATGAATTGTGGCACAATCAATGGGTACCAAGTCAACATCACCGTCTAAAAACTCATTGCATTCGAACGGATTATTCGAATCAGTACCAGAACATTGATAACAGTTTATACTATAAACTAAAAACAAAATAAACAAAAGGTAACAATTATTGTAGAAGAATTAAAACATGAACAACGCCCAAATTTACGTACCTGTTTTAAAAGTTGTAAACAATACAAATAAAATGGAAAACGTTAAACAACGAGACATCTCGGTATTTTTATGTTTCTCTTGATTTATAACTGTAAACAAAAAGTCATTACACAAACGTAGTGGGTTCTGTTATAATTAACTGAAAATCAATTATTGTTTGGTCCACTGCTACTCATTTCAATGAAACGCATTTTTGCGGTTGACGTTTGAAGTAGTTTGAACACGATTGACACTTGTTTGGCACTTGTCAGTGACATAGACTATGTTCCGATAGGTACCTACTGCGAGACTGCCTGAACCTTTGCTCGCCCACCTGTCCCGTGTCTGTCATAAAAAATAATACTGCGAACATTGTAAGGTGTGACGTCAATTTAGTATACAGCGAAGCCTTTCTTTATAGTTACCTATATTGGTTACTGTTTATAATGAAACCTAGTACAGCATACTGTGATCGGCGTTGTTTGACTTTGTGTTCACTTCAACAAAAAAATATTATAAAGCGCTTTATTCACGATCCATCTTGCTGTACGTCTCGCCAAGGCCATGCACGATGCACGATGCAAAAGTACCATGAATAGGCGTGACGTACGTCGATAATTATTATTAATTGTTTGCTGTACAGCAAGTCTATACACGATCAAGCACGCACGACGCAGGACCGCTCTGACGTACGTCCGCGTTATTCACTGTCTATCTGCACGACGTTGGCGGTGGTGGGGGCGCTCGTTGGATGCAAAATTGGTCGTGCAAATCCAGCAAACAATTAATAATAATTATCGACGTACGTCAAGCCTATACATTGTACTTTTGCAACGTGCATCGTGCATGGCCTTGGCGGGACGTACAGCAAGATGGAACGTGAATAAGGCGCTTTACTGAATTATTGAAATGAGGTTAAGCATGGTAAAAGTACCACGTGATAAAAGCACTGAGAGAGAGAGAGAGAGAGCATATTCTTTATTTTACACAAAATGAATAAACAATGCGAAACATTCAATACAAAAAGTACAATCGGCGGTCTTATCGCTTAAATAAGCACCTTACGTCGAAAACACCAGTGTTCACAGTAGAAAAATTATGACCATTTATGACGTCATATATTTCCCTAGGATACTGCAACTCATGGAGTTAATAAGTACCTATAATATTAGCTCTATGCTGCAACTATACTGTCAGTCCATACTGGAAAGAATGTTTCCCCTATATTATAAACAATATTCGCAGTGCAAATCGGAACAAAGCCAAAAGGACATGATTTGTTTGCTAATTTTCATTAAATTAACTTACTTCGGATGAGTAGTTGAGTTAGTGTTAATCCATTTCCATCCCAGACGACGGGACAACGCAAAGGCGCCGTCGCCCAAGACATAGCTTGTCAGATCCCCCGGATCCATAATCGATGCTTTTAAGCTCTTTAAACACCAGTCACAGCCCTCATCGAACTCGTCGATTACGATAAAGAACTAGACCGGCGAACTAACCCTTAGATACAGCGTACTGACTTTTTCGTCGGATCATCTCAGTGGGTCGAGGTTCCGATCCGGTGATAGATTCTAGATTCTGCGAAGGACTGCTCTTGCTAGGGCTGGTATAAACAAATTCTCTCAGGTTGAACCCTTGAGCTCACCTACCTGTATTTCGTGAATCCATTAAAAGTCAGAATACTAGCCTGGTTGGCGGTCAACGCTCCCAGAGGCTGTCGGTAGAAACTTACAAACCACCATAACCGTATTAAGTTCATTATTGATGAGAGCTCTTACGACAGACGAGACAGATAAATTAGAGTTCCGAGTTAATACTCAGAGAATGTAGCACATATGTACATAAATAGACGTTATGAATCTTGCCGCAGTCATTATATCACAAATACATCTGTTAATTACATTTTTTTTTTTTTATTGCTTAGATGAGTGGACGAGCTCTCAGCCCACCTGGTGTTAAGTGGTTACTGGAGCCCATAGACATCCACAACGTAAATGCGCCACCCATCTTGAGATACAAGTTCTCAAGTCTCAAGTATAGTTACAACGGCTGCCCCACCCTTCAAACCGAAACGCATTACTGCTTCACGGCAGAAATAGGCAAGGTGGTGGTACCCACCCTCGTGGACTCACAAGAGGTCTTACCACCAGTAAAAATACATATTTATTACATATTTATTAATTGAAATTTTCATCTAATGATGAAGTTCTGAGAGCTTACGGTGACGATTACTATTTTGTAGCGAGATCAGCGTTACAAACTAGCCAGAATCGCGATTATTAACGTGAAGTAACTGTAAAATTCTACTGGTGGTAGGACCTCTTGTGAGTCCGCATGGGTAGGTACCACCACCCTGCCTATTTCTGCCGTGAATGCGTTTCGGTTTGGTGACCGGGGCAGCTATTGTAACTATACTGAGACCTTAAAACTCATATCTCAAGGTGGGTGGCGGCATTTACGTTTTAGGTGTGTTAACGCCTACGAAATTTTACTGAGCAATATTAAATTTTTATTTATGTTCACCGACACAATGGGGAATGCCCACTCTCCATAGTGTGCTAGGCCCAAGGTGGACATCAAATATTACTATAAAAATGGACTGATTCAAATTCTTAAATGTATTAGATATCTAAAAAATATAATAAAAATAAAAAACTCGTTTTGAGGTTAATTTTCTATATAAATACCTCAAGAACTTTTCTTTTTTTAATGTTTAAGATGTTCCTAATGTATTTTTATCCAATTGTAGTTATTAAGGTATAAAAAACACACATACTTCTTTAAATATCTATATTTTCTTCATCTTCATACACAATTAGTAAATCATCTAAAAATAGCACAGAAGAGCATATACACGGTTTTAAATCTCGGTCAGGTTAAAACCACAATTCACACAATGTTTTTCAGTCGTAGTATGTAACGTTATTGATAGAAGCAAAAAAAAAAAAAAAAAAACACATCCATTTTGAACGCAAGCACAAGCAGCAAGCGAAGTGTCAGTCAGTCAGATCAAAATCAGTGTTGTCAGTATATAGAAAAATAATTACATGAAATTCATATATCGATCATTTTTTTAAATAACCGATATTTGATTTATTTCTTAATCTTTTTTTTACGAGTACACATTATATTTTATTTTTTATGTTTTTGTTTTAGTTGTACATATTTAAATAACAATACAAGTTAAGTTTTTTTTATTGCTTAGATGGGTGGACGATCTCACAGCCACCCTGGTGTTGTGTGGTTACTAGAGCCCACAAACATCTACAACGTAAATGCGCCACCCACCTTGAGATATAAGTTCTAAGGTCTCAAGTATAGTAACAAGTTAAAGTCCAATGGGTATGTCTTTGATGTTATTTTATGTGCTTAAAATCGATTGATTAATGATAATATTTAAAATGATTTATTTATTTGTTTTTTTATATACTTAAAATGTTTACTTAATACGTAAAAGGTTTTGAAGCTGGCAATATTTTTCCCGCAAAAATAAAATTCTTGTTTTTTTCAATAGAGTTACTATTTATAAACTACTTATTGTAAACTGTAGTGGCGCTTATTTGGAAGAAAGTAAATGCATATTTATTTATGACAAAATTAATGCACTAAGTATTTTTTCTCTAATCTATTGTCCGCTTTGGGCCTGAAATGGGCCGTCCCCTTTTACACACTTCAATTAATGGCCGTGCCAAGCTAACTCATTCGCAATGTAAAAATCAAGAAAAACACTGTATAAAGGAAATACAAGCACAAAATCGATTGTGGGAGTTTTATTCAAGAAACCCAAGCATCCAACAAGGTGTCTATGGGCTCCGGTAACCACTTAACACTAGGTGGGCTGTGAGCTCATCCACCCATTTAAGCCATAAAAAAGCCCTCTAAATATCGATTTGGCGTCAGATAAATACAAGTAATTTTAATGTTTCTTATGTATAAAAATACCGACGATTATATCACATTCAATCTCCTATAATTGTTCTGTAGTGTTCCAAAACCACACATAAATTCATTTTAATGTACTCAAATAGTTGCGCATACAGTAGGCATGGACAAGGTATGTGACATACTTATTTATTTAGATTTTATCATTGGGCAATTTTATTCCCAAAAAATTACCTACCTATTAATAAATACCTACCACATATATGTATTGTTGCATACCCAAATATGTGTATTGTTATTTTATGTGTAATGTGGTATTTAAAGTTTCAATTTTTTTTAAGAATATAACTAGTTATTGTTTGTAAAATAATTGGCAATAAATAAATATAATTAATTGGTGTTTAAAGGACTAGTAGTAAATCAGCATTTCCTTTCACATAAGAGTATAAACGTCTAGTCTACACTGTACCTATATTTTTTGTAACACAGGAATAGTTGCCAAGTAGAAACGCCAAAGTTATAGAAAATGGTTTAATAAGTCGACTGGCGAGCATCTTTAAATAATAGTTTGTAGCTACGAAATAGTTTTGTTTAAAATGGAAGGTAATAATTAATAACACAACATCAGTCTTATTATGTTATACAAAATATTTATTTTCGTTTCGTTTCACAATACAAAGTATAATATTTATATAAATTGGTTACATTGTGTAAGCCGGTACCTTAAACATTAAGTAAGATCTTAAGTAGTTTTAAAAACTATGGACGTCTCTTTAATTTCAAATCTACGACTTTAATCTCAATTATTTTAGTGTTATACAATTTTAATAAAGAAATATACACTTAAATCACATTCAATAGAGGAGCTAGTACCCTTAAACACTTGTGTTAACTTAATTTGTACATTAAAATCTAAATTTAAATGCAAAACTTATCTAGCCACTTACAGGCAGTTTTCAAGTGGAACATTTATTGTCATTATTAACACTTAAAGCTATAATTTATGAATTATAATCACAAGTTGGAATGTATAGAAAGTCAAAACCATCCGATTTTGCTTATACTTTAGTATTGCTGGAGCATCAGAATGGTTTAAGAGAAGAAAAAATATACAAGAATTAGTTTTTATGTCTATTTTTATCTTATGTTAAATAAGTAGGTTAATAAATAGTATTGGCACTTATTCGAATACTATACTTGAAAAAACCTTGGAAGAGTAGAAGTTTCAAAGAGTATTTATAAATTTTGTAGAAGTAAGGAAGGATGCCAAAATTTAAGCCATTTTCTTTTTACAGAATATAAAAAATCGGCTATGTTTGTCAATTAAATACTGTATTAAAGAGGAAAAAATGTCTATGAAAAGTATGTTTGCATTGGTTGCAGTCAATTGATTAATTGGGGCCTTAAAGGTAAGGATCCCTCGACCCAGAAGTTCGGACGTTCCATCATTGTCTGCCAGAGTGAAACTTCTTTGCCCGCACTATCCATCCAGTTGACGTGGGCACCCATGTATGTTCCTGTAAAAAATATAGAGATCTATCAAATCAAAGTTTTTTTTAATATCTCCAGTGTGTTCTTACTAAGTTATTTTGACAACTGCTCAAATTCATTTTCATATTACAAGTTCACACATATTACAACATATTCGCTGCGGGTGAAGTAATGTTCTTAGTTTTAAAACATCTGAAGATTTGATAAAGCTCAATATTAAAATTTGTGTTCAAAGATATTTTAAATCAGTCTTTACTGAGAGACATTGATAATTAGATTTGCAATACATTTAGCACAATCGTTACAATGGTTACACTATTGGTCCACTACTTTGTAAATAACATTAGATGGGTGAATGAGCTCACAAGCTACATATTTTTAAGTGGTTACCAGAGTGTTGATTCCAGAAAATGTTAGGCTACATAGTGTATGCCTATCTGTGTGTTACAAAACACCACCATTATAAATTTACCTATAATTATAAACTTTGCCGGTCTTATTTCCGTTCTAAGTTTGCGTACCAAGTTAATGTAAAGCTAATATGATAATAAATGAGTTAAGAATTTTATTTAGTGTGCTGATATCGATCTGATTTTCTCTAGGAATCTGTTTTGATCGTCTTTAAATGCGGATCAGTATCCGTGCATTTTTAGAAAGCGGCACGACACGAGAACCCTCTCATCGTAGCCGCCGGTAACTACATTCCCGATCCTGCGGACCGAATGGTAAACAGTCGACGTCGCCCTAAACACGTCATTTCGGTCCCGATCCACTAACGGTGCTTTTGGGTACCTCAAGCACCGGTCATCGTTCTCGTCGAACCCGTCGCTTGCGACGAAGGGCTCGACGAGCGAATTAACCCACAGACACAGCCCAATGAGTTTTTCGCCGGATCATCTCAGTGGGTCGCGTTTCCGATCCGGTGGTAGATTCTGTGAAGCACTGCTCTTGCTAGGGCCAGTGTTACCAACGACGTCAGGCTCGAGCCCCGTGAGCTCACCTACTAGTTAAGGCTACGCTGAAATGGTCTCTCAAGACCACTACTGGTGGTAGGACCTCTTGTGAATCCGCACGGGTAGGTACCACCACCTTGAGATATAAGTTCTAAGGTCTCAAGTATAGTTATAGTTAGGTGTTTGAGGTGAGGATGAGGTTTGGCCGACCTGTGCCGAGCGAGAGTCGCACCGCTCCCATGAAGTCGTTGGAGGCGAGGCGGTCCCGGTCCCAGAGGCTGAGTTCGAGCGCCCGGGCGGCGAGGTCTTGCGGCTTGAGGCCGCGGTACGTGAACGTGTGCTCCCAGCGCGGGCTGAGGGTGCGTCTTGCCACGCTCGTCTTCTGTTTAGCAAGACGGCCTCGTTCCGGCAGCAGGTAGCTGTAATTAAAACGTCCATCTTTAATTTTTTTTTTAATGTGCAACATAACCAACAGAATCATTTATCAATCCTGAAAGTGAAATGAAAAATAATTTTGTCATCGAACTTTGAACATATTTTACGACAATACAAAAGCATTAAAATATGCCTTTAAGAAAAGAACAATAATTTTTTTATGGGATTTTATGACCCGGTAACCTTGACCTTTAGGTCAAGTCTTATTTTAATTTTAATATTTGAATAAAGAAATGAAATGAGATGATATGGGATGAAATATAATCTCAGTAAAATGATGGTCATTTACTGAGACTTTTTCAGTGGACTTTTTGGAGGATCCCGAGAAGTTAAATTCTGCGCGCCTTTGTTTCATTTTCCCACATCTATGCACTTTCATAGATACTAAACAGTTAACAAACCACCGTTATTCCAGATTTAAACCTGAAGAAACGCTAAATAGCAAAATAAAATAAATCACGCAACTTCACTCCTCGCGTTCCCGCCAAAAAAGTCTGAGCTAAATGATCTAGACGAAGAAATGAATTAATTGAGATAAAGACCAATCAATTGAATTGAATCACTGAGCTAGTGATCTAAATGAGGTAGTGAGCTAAATGAGTGATATATATATCTTTAGAGCCAAATGATATGTATCTATCTTTTCAGCTCAGTGATACATTTTGCGCATCACTAATGTCGATTTCTTCTTACTAAGGCGCCGGAATATCTAGTAGACTCGGGGAAAGACGAGTCCGAATGATACTGAGAATGAATTTATTTCTATGGGACCTAAAGGAATAAAAGATTAACAAACAAAATAAGGCAAAGTTAAGCAATCCTGGGGGCTTGGTAACAGGAATCGACATAATTACTTTAGTAAGCCGCGTAGGGCACAGGTGACCTACATAAAGAGTAAATGTGTTAAGAAAAAAAAACACTAAAGAATATGCTTTTTTAACCTTTTACAGAAGACATCTGCTAGTCCGTTCGGCTTGGTGGCAACGAGATTCTTGGCTTCCTTGACGAGGACGTGCAGCGTGCCCTTGCCGCGCATCGCGCCCGTCTCGTGCAACTCGAACTTGAGGCCTACGATGAGGTCGCCTCGGGTTCCTTGCTGTTCATCGAAATGTTCCGTCTGCAATTAATCACAAAGCCACTCAATTGTATGCGTCATAAGTGTTAGCAATGTATGTGTGTTTGTTTGTTTGGTTGCTAGGGTGAGTGTTAGCAACGTCGTCAGCTTTGAGCCCATTCTGCGAATCTAGCATAACCACTCGAGGTTACTAGAATGAATAAATGAATGATTGAATGAATAATCGAACGAATGAATGAATGTTCGAACGAATGAATGAATGAATGAATAAATAGCCTTTTATTCAGATCCATATTACAATTATATAATCTAGTCTCTTATTTGGATTCGAAACTAATTTTCTGTAGATTTGTTCTGTTATTAGAAAAGGAAGAGGAAAGAAAAAAGTTTGAAATTAAGAAACACTCTTATTCTGAGAGTTGAATTATTAAATATCTGTTCAGCTTTAATCACTCGGTATTATATATTGTATAGTTATGGTAGTCGTGACACGAATCAACATCCAATGTTTAGTTCTAAATAAAGAAACTATTCAACGGTCAACAACAGAAACACGGATTTCTGTTGGGAAACAATCAAGAGGAAAGTGCCGTGTGTGCTCACCCTCTCGTGCAGCTTGTACCACGTGGGCGCGGGGTCGTCGAAAACGACGTCGGCCAGCGGCAGCGAGACCTCGCCGAGGAAGTCGTTCCGCCCGAACATGTCCGCGTGCCACACGCTCAGCCACAGTGTCCGCGAGGACAGCGAGGCCAGCGTCTGCGCGAAGCTAAGCGTCTCCTCGAAAACGGGGTTCAGGGTGTTCTTCTTCACTTTCGTTTTGCGTTTGCCGGCTTTCGATTTGTCGGGCAACAGGTAAACCTGTAACAATATTGTCGTAATCACTCACCACCTCGTAGACTCACGCCGTATCACTTAGGGAGAAGGCTTTAGGTCGAGGATGGATAAGGAAAAGGTCATAATGGAAAACCGTAACGTACCGTCGCAGGACGGACGGAAGGATGGTAGCAATCTCGAGAGGCTCATCGTGACTGGTAAGGTAGATGGGAAAAGACCTCGGGGGCGCAGCCCAATACGTTGGTCCGACCAGATCCGCACCGCTCTTGATTCCACGTTTCACAACGCCCTCCACACCGCCAGAGACAAGAATGGATGGAGAAAAATCGTGCGTGCGAAGATGATACAAAAGGGTGGTCACGACCCTCAGCAATGAGGAATACGACGCAAGGAGGAGACCGTCGCAAGACCGTCACACGCGAGGGTATAAGCCGCGCCAATAATGAAACGAATCTAAAATGGCGGCGGCGATCATGCGCTCTCACTCTAAACTATTGCTCTCTTTAGTCGCAAACGGCGCCTACTGCATGCCAAAAAAAATTATCAGTTCTGACTTTGTTGTTGAGTTCGAGTTTTTTTACTTTCGAGTTGTGCGACTTAGATGACTGGCAGCAAAAGTGTCTACGCAAGTTGCATCACAGATGAGACACCTCCCCCTCTGCCAGGGCATAAAGTAAAGTAAAGTACATTCTCATTTGTTTTTTTATATATATTTTTTTACAATAAACAACTTTTTCTTTCTATCTTTCTTTTTATTTGTTGACCCTACCTATCAGCGCAGGTACAGACACGCCATTTTCGATTCGTTTCTTTATTGCCGCGGCTTATACCGTCCCGTTCGAGAAGCAATGCCGTGCCAATTCGCAACCAGTCCCCACAGATTAGTTACATTACAGATTGATTTCGAACAATAATATGTAGTTTAAATCAAGAACGTGACGGATTTATGGAAATATGCAGTGACGGATTTAAGGCTTGATGCCGCCCTGTTTGTCACGTCGCAATTAATAATAAAATAAATTTTATTAATTCTGATCCAATATTTTTATTTTAAATTTAAATTAACTTAATTTTATTAAATTAACTTAACACTTATCATACTGACACTCACTGGTACCTATTTCTACCATTTTGACATTTACGTTGTAGATGTCTATGAGCTGAGCTCGTCCATCCAACGCGTAAATCCATCACTTACAGTGCGTAAAAAAACTCACCTTGACGTATGGATCAGAGCGGTTCCTCTTGGCGTCGATCGGAGCGAGGTCCCGACACCTCTTGACTCCGACTTCAAGAGCGCCCAATCTGTAGTTGTACAGCAGCGAGAACTGAACTTCCCCGCGCACGGTCACGTTACACCTCGTCCCCTCGCCCGCACCAGAGTACACTGACGCCATGGACTCCGAGCGTGCCTGGAAATAAAACGTATTTTGTTACTGGTGGTAGGACCTTTTGTGAGTCCGCGCGGGTAGGTACCACCGCCCCGCCTATTTCTGCCGTGAAGCAGTAACGCGTTTCGGTTTGAAAGGTGAGGTAGCCATTGTAACTATACTGAGACCTTAGAACTTGTATCTCAGGGTGGATGGCGCATTTGTAAATGTCTATGGGTAACCACTTAAAACCAGGTGGGCTTTTAGCTCGTCCACCCATTTAAGCAATAAAATAAAAAAACATTTTACTGTCTGTTTTTTTGTTTAGTTGGCCTGGTAACTTCAGGGCCCATCGAAAAGCTATAAATATGAGCGAATTGTTAAACCAAACAATTCGAAGGATGAAAAGGCTAAAAAAATAATCTAATATAAAAATAAATATAAAAAAATAAATAATCTATAAAAAACTACTTTTTTATAGATTATTTACAAGAGAGCCATTTAAAGTTTAAAATCTGTAAAAAATATCATAGAAAAACAAACTGCTTCAGGTATTTGAATGAAGTTGAATCAATTGAAGTTCAATTAAAAACATTGAATTTTGGAAATAACAAATAAAATACACCTTTCATTATAAAGATAATATGGTGTCGCATATTAAGCGAATTGTCGCTTAAACCAAATACCCTTTCCTCTCCTCAAATTATACTAACAGTATATTCATAATACGCCTACCACAAATATTATCATTTAAAGCTTCCCATCAGACGTGCATAGATTAAAGGGATATAAAAATATTACTATATCTATATATTAATACGTGAAGCAAAAACTTTGTATCCCTTTTTACGAAAATTGCGCGGACAGAGGAGTATGAAATTTTCCACACTTATAGAGAATATAGAGAAGAAGTGCACAATGCAATTTTTTTTTTAAATAATGCATAAAAGATACATTAAATCAATAAAGAAAACATTACACACACTACATACCATGTATTTGACGCACACACGCATGCATACTATTTATCGTCAAACTTTTGTTCTTGACGTCTGTGGTCATATTGAGAATAGATTAAATATTGTTTGTCTTTGTTAATATTTTTTATAGTGTAGTCTTGGCGAAATTTGTGATTATAGAAGTATAAAATACAATCATAATAGTGTAGAAACTTACAATTCCAATTAATTATAGTCGAATTTCGACTACTGCGGGACCTCTAGTATTGATAAATTCACCAACTCACACACATATATCGTTTAATTCGAAACAACCGTTGGTAAGTTTAATCGCACGATTACTGTGTAATTAGTACAGTAGGCGGCAATACGGCTCATTGTTTGTTTGCTTGTATCATGTGTTATTCGATATACAACAACAACACGTCCAATCATGCATGAAATGTTTTCTCCTTTTTTTTGTATCTCTCAGTATTAGTAAAGCGGTAGTTCTTTTTGACATTCAACAACTATGTACTTTCATTTATGTTGAATATTTTTTTTTTATTTGATTTGACTTGATTTGATTCAGTGGGAATACGCACGAGGAAGCAGTTCAGTATATTTTCGTCATTAATACACATCTGTGTACTGAACTTGGGTTTATAATGCTTATATATATATTTATATAGACATTTATTAGTTTAGATTTTAAATCGGTCAACAACTGCGTTATTATTAAATAGTTAATATTTAACTCTAATAGTTATATTTATTTATTTATTTATTTACATAAGTACTGCCACATCACAAACATCTAACATTGAAAATAAATTTAAACTATTTAATTTATGGCCTGATGCATGTGACAACAATGGCGTACATAGCATTGGCAATTCATCGGCTCGAAAATGGAATACATCAATAATAATAATAATAATAATAAAACAGTACTATTTGTTGAAATATTAATAAAAATGTCTAAAAATTTCATGTCATATCGAAAAGAAGAAAAGAAGAAATGTTAATATAATGTCAAGCAACAACAAGTCAGTTATAGAACAAGAAATGATCAACGATTAAAGTTAAAGTTAAGGTCCCTTTTCCTTTCCTTTCCTATCTTGTCCTTAAATACACACAACTTGTCGTGGAACACATCAAGATCGGGCATCACTGTGATAAGGGAATGATACTCATCAATTATTCTACGGAGAGGTGCCTGCCGTCCCAAATTAGATTTTACAGGTGGGGTGTAGAAAATATATTTGAGTTTCCCGCGAGGATAGGTACGGGGAACCCTTAAAGGCATGTTCTCTAGAAAGTAGCTACACTGATATTGACCGCTCACGACTTTGTGGAAGAAGGACATGTCCAATAAAAGTCTCCGTTCACGAAGAGAACACATTCGAAACCTAATTAGGCGCTCTCTGTAAGGATTTCTGTGCGAAAAACCGCTAGAATTAAATATATTCACGTGTTTTTTTTTATTTATGATTAAAAGATTACTAGTGGCCCTGAGGCCTTTCCAGTTTCAACAGGATGGGTGGGCGAGCAAAGGCTCAGCCAGGAGGGGTGGGATTTGCTAACAGCTGCCCGAGCGCCTCCGAAGGAGTCCTAACAACTCAAGCGCAGCTGCTTCGCGAATGAATCTACTACCGGATCGGAATCGCGACCCGCTGAGAAGATCCGGCGTTTCTCGCCGAGCGAGCTGATGCACGGGTTAAGTTGCACGTAGACCTCTTTGTCGAGTTCGACGAGTACGGTTACCGAGGTCCCTAAGCCTGCTCCTAGTGTTAAAGCTGAACGCGTCTAATGCAAAGGTTATTGGATCTGATGAATACGTAAGGACGTATTCGCGTGAGTTTATTGAAGCGTAAATATTTTATGAAGCCACTACCTTAGTTTGGCAGCTAAGTTGAGAAATAAATACAGGAAGCAAGTATTAGAACTGCATTAATTCAATCATTTAATAATCAATCTTATAATGACCTCGAGAAATGTGCTAGTAGATTAGTGGATTCAATTAAACTTCGATACATATCGTTGTTGAAACAAAATGACCGACTATTGATAAAAGACCAGATATCGGCTTAATGTCTTTAAATTAAAATTTATGAATAAAGATCATCACTATTATCATTACATCTATATTTTAATTTAATGATAAATTTTATATTTTTAATGTAAATTTTAAACTTGGAAGAAATAAAGATCACGAAATAAAGGTGCATCATAGACACACAAGAAACAAAGACAAATGAGTATGTGGCACTTTTGATGGTAATTAATCATCGTTCCGTTTGGGACATCAGCAATGCCAGTGTCAATGACAGGGGCAAAGCCGCTGCCCACCGCTAAGGACAGCTTTGAGTCCTAGTTTGAAGTCGGCAATGTGCCCGGGAGACACCCAGGAGATCTCGTTCCAAAGCCGTATACTATGAGCTAAAAAATGATCTCTGGATACGCTGTGGTTTCAGTAACAGTATGCAACTATAATAACCATTTGTTTTGTTCGGAGTATCAAAGCCCTGGTAGCATTTTTTTATTAATTATAGGTTCGATTACATGATAACATAAATGTGTTACCATTAACTACGATCATTAATTTATCACAATGTGGAATTTTTAAACGACTTCTAACTTTTAAAAATTATACTGTTACATTCGATTGCATGAATTTGATTTGTGAGTATTCTAATTTCAGAGTGACGCTTCGATCAGAAGTCGTCGTGTCCTAAAGGATAAGACGCCCGATCTATTCGTATCGAACGATGTGACAGTACCGATGTTCGAATCCCGCAAACAGGTACCAATTTTTGTAATGAAATATATACTTAACATACGTTCACGAATGACTTCCAACATCGTGTAATAGAAATCAAACCTTCAAAAATTATAATGTCTTGTGAGTTTGCAAGGTTACGTACTATCACCTTGGCTATTTCTGGCGGAAAGCAGTAGTAATGATGTCACAAGATGGGCGGAGGAAGTCACGTGGTTTATGTCTATGGGCTCTGGTAATCATTTAACACAAGATGTACCGTGAGTTCGATCGCCCGTTTAAGCATATTAAAAAAAAACGCGGCCCCTCCTTATTTCAACAGTCGAATTGCGAATGGTAAGCGGTCGACGTCGCCCAAAGCGCGTTATTACGGATGCTCCTGATCCATTAACGGTGCTTTTAGGCACCACAAGCACCGGTCACCGTCCTCGTCGAAACCGTCGCTTGCGACGAAGGGCTCGACGAGCGAATTAACCCATAGACACAACCCACTGAGTTTCTCGCCGGATCTCCTCAGTGGGTCGCGTTTCCGATCCGGTGGTAGATTCTGCGAAGCACTGCTCTTGCTAGGGTCAGTGTTAGCAACTCTCCGGTTTGAGCCCCGTGAGCTCACCTACAAACGTTAGGGTGAAGCTGAAATAACCTCTCAAGGCTATCAGCATAGGTAGGAAAAAAAGGTCGAATTGTTTTTGTAAATGGAAAATAATGTTTATGCGTAATTTATAATATCGGTCGTATTGACATTCAATGACAAAGAAAGGTGATGATTATTCCGGAGAATTTTCCTGTAAATGTCAACCCAAACACCGTTCTCTTTGTTTCCCTATGACTGTGTTATAACAGGGGACTTTTTAACCAATATTTATCCTGAGCTTACTCTTTTTACAATAAATAGTTAAATAATCCGTTTCCCATTGGAAAGGTTGCCAAAGTCATTGATCTTAGGGCTCTCGATGTTTGCCAAGAATGGTAAAATGAAAATGAGGATAGACATTTACTTAACAATGCCGGCGCCATTCGAATTTTGTACTGGTCTAACGCGAATTGTATTTATAAATATAATATTTTTACCGGCCAATTAATTATAAGTACAAAAGTGTACTTACTGCACGTCGTATACAGTTTTATATTGGCTTATCGCATCAACCCACTCTGTATAAGGAATAAGTGTTGCAACATATTTTATAATACATTTAAAGCCGGTATTGTAAACCCACGCGCTTCTATAAAAATGTGTATTTCTAATCTATTAGCGTTTTATTTTATCTCTCGCACGAATCAGGGACATAGCATCTCACCTATTTTAAAGCTTAAAGAGTAAGACAGTCGTTATTACTAAGCAATCGGGACTTTAACTTCGCTCAAACTCGCTCGACTTTAACTCAAAGTGAGTGGCGGCATTCACGTTGTGATATCTATAGTCTGTATTTACAATAACCATTAAATAGCAACAGGGCCGAGCACACTGAGTTTCTCGCCGGATCTTCTCAATGGGTCTCGTGTCCGATCCGGTGGTAGATTCTGCGAAGCATTGCTCTTGCTAGGGCCAGTGTTAGCAACACTCCCGATTAGAGCCCCGTGAGCTCACCTACACGTCAAGAAGAAGCTGAAATAGCCTCTCAAGGCTATCAACATAGGTAGGAGAAAAAAAAAGCAGGGTCGTGAGTGCCACCGACCGTCTAAGTAATAAAACAAAAACACATCTCAATATCCAAGTAAATGTTTTGCAAAAGCCTCTAGTTCACAGGCGGTGTTGCAAGATCGTAACATAATACAATGGCCGTCGCGGTCACCGAGACAATACTCCCATCGAACAATTCAAATTTTTTAATTTAAGACCTTAAAACAATTTCAAAAGGTTCATTTTCCGAACAGGTTTACGTGTTGCTAAAGAGCGACAGATAATTACGCATACAATAACATAACGATAATCCGCTCACAAAATATAGGCATTTCGCGTGCCTATATTGAAAATATAAAATTGTTTCCTTCGCTATATTATTACACGACACGTCTCGTTTTCAATGAGATATTTAACATTTGAAAATTTTGTAACTTAAGGATCGTATAGTAATTAATATTCATAGTACATTTCTATAGTGTTGTTGAAAATATATTTGTAATTTTAAATAATGTCATTTAGTAAATTAATAATAGTTAGTGGGTATTTTGTGTCAATCTAATAGGTAGGGTAGGCAAAGAAATTTCAAGACCATATTTTCAATATACAATAACGAAATCTTATGTTGTCGTTAAATAAACTTCGGTATTAGGTATGTAGTTTAAATAAAAAGATAAAACAAAAGCAGAGTGAAGATTAAAGGTTAAGTTTGAAACGTCTGAGAATAAGCTCACTAAACAGGATTTATTACTAACTAAGCGAAACAAGTTTGACTTTACCACAAGCCATTTTGGTTCAAGTTTAAATTTTATTTCTTGGTTTTGTTTATTTAGACATGACGACAAGCAAATTCAAGTTACATATTAAAAACATTCGAGAATATTCAGTAACATTATAAGACCGGATCCTAGTAAGATCTTAGATTAGGGGAGTTATGTATGATCTCTCTAATAAGGTGATTAAGCACCTAATTTAACATTTTAAAACTTGTCGCAGAATCTACAAACGGATCAAAATCGCAATTCACAGATAAGATCCGATGAGAAAGTCAGTGGGTTGTATCTAGGTTGTGTGGGTTATGTTTATGTGTGATTGATGATACCCGTGCGATTTCAAAAGACGCCCGCCCTGCCAACGGTAGCACTATAATTTGTCGATAACAATATTTTAATGAACATAATATGATTACCTGTAGTCCACTTCTGTTGACTGGGAACCGATCTCTTTCCAGCGTGTCTCTTTCATTCGGCAAGGGTGAATTAGATCGGCGAGGAAGCGTTGCATGGCCAGGTAATAACGTTTCTGAAGTATACACTTCATCTGAAATTATTATTAAAATAGATCAATACTTATTGACTTAAGTGAAAAACGTCCAAGAATTTGGGTTTGAAGACAAAGATTTGTAGTTTAGTAATGTTGACAGTGCGCTATCAATCGATGTGGAAGTTGCATGCACCAGTAGAGAAGATTAGTTAAATTTATGTCCGAATTCAGTGGTTTTTAAATAAATTGTGTATGCAGATATTCACAGTGCAATGTGCCATGAGACATAGCATTAAGACGCATCACCCTCTTTCAATTCAAGCCATTCATCAGGCTTAACAACCCGACATCGCTTCTTCCTAGTCAGAGAATTATCACACCACTCCAAGGATTTCAAAAATGAATCTCGGCATGATATAACTTCGCGTATGAATGAGATTTTCTCACCGCGTTTTTCGACGATCCTAATACTTGGGGTCCCCGGACCTTTTGAGGATTCAGGAGGAGATATTTTAAATTTTGGCACACTGTACTGTGGTGTGTTTAAGCTAATTGTACTCGATCTTTGTTCGCTAGATAAAAGAAGTTCCGTTGTAGATTTAGAAATTTGACTTTCCAAGTCAGCAGTTGAAGTAATCGTTATTGTAGGAACAGATTGTACTGCAGTAGTCGGTATTTCTTTTTCTAAAATATAACTTCTTCTTTCCGCGGAACGTATGAGCGAAGAAGTAGAATTTTCAACTGGTAAATCATCAGTTTCATTCGAATTATTTTTACAGCAACAACACCACCGTAAAAAAGCACTTTGCTCATTTTTTCGACCGAAATTTGTAGAGTACACGTTAACTGGATAATACGAGGAGCTCTGCTCTTCGGGCATCACATTGTAACTTTCGTAAGATGAAAAACGTGACTCGGACATTTTTATTTTTATTTTTAATTCACTAGAATTTGTGATCTACATGGTATGCAAGTGAACATGTCACGACCGCACTATACTGAACCGATTTAAACTACATATAAACATGTACATAAAACACTTTATGCTAATTTCATTACTATCATGGTTTACAATTTGTATGGTTGTTTCCTGTTGAGCGCGGCTCGGTGGCGATAGCGATACGACCGTGCAAATAGGTTCTACTCGTAATGATTTAATGAACTACATGAATATGAACATGACACACACGGCAGGTTGAACACAAAGTAGCATACGAAGTTTCTATATTTATTAAATTAATAAAATTATTTGGTACCTTTTAAAGTTTGCGCTTTCTTTATATGTTCTAAAGTATTCCATCGTGACGATTTAGTAGTAGTCTTTTTTTCAGACGAATCGGAAATAGAGCATAGCGATTTAGCAGTTTTTAGAATATTAAATTTTTTAGGTGTTTGAAAAACTGGTAGTGAAGTCTTAAATTGTATCCCTTTATTCAGAACAGGCGTATGTGTTGCCGTTCTCACGTTTATATTTATTTCAACACTTTCTGATTTGGCCTTGTTAGTATTTTTGGCAAAATCGTCCTCGTGTTCTCGCATTGTACCAGACGACCCTGCGTATCCGGATTCAAAATCATTGGGATCTGTTATATCTATTTTTTCAATAGGACTTAAAGTTTCTTCTCTACTCTCCAGTGAAATATTTTCGATACCTTTGGTGAGATCTTGAAGTACACTATCTATTGTTGTTCTTTTATCAGGCGTTTTTATTATGTCACTTAAACGTCTCAATTTTGGCGTCGAAGTCTCAACTTTAAGTAAATTTACAATCTTTGTAGAATCACGGCTATCACTACGGATAAGTGTTTTTAGAGATTTAGGTAAGGTAGCGAGTGTGGAACTTTTCATCACTTTAGCAGATGTAGATTCCGTCTTTAATAGTTTTGGTGTTAAAGTGTCAACTTCAGGTTTATTTGACATCTTTGTAGAATCACGGCTATCACTACGAATAAGTGTTCTTGGGGATTTAGGTAAGGTAGCAAGTGTCGAACTTTTTATCCCTTTAGCAGATGTAGATTCCGTCTTTAATGGTTTTGGTGTCGATGTGTCAACTTCAGGTGTATTTACAATCTTTGTAGAATCACGGCTATCACTACGGATAAGTGTTTTTGGAGATTTAGGTAAGGTAGCAAGTGTGGGACTTTTTATCTCTTTAGCAGATGTAGGTTCCGTCTTTAATGGTTTTGGCGTCGAAGTCTCAACTTTAGGTAAATTTACAATCTTCGTAGAATCACGGCTATCACTACGGATAAGTGTTTTTGGAGATTTAGGTAAGGTAGCAAGTATCGAACTTTTTATCACCTTAGCAGATGTAGATTCCTTCCTTAATAGTTTTGGTGTTAAGGTGTCAACTTCAGGTTTATTAACCATCTTTGTAGAATCACGGCTATCACTACGGATAAGTGTTCTAGGAGATTTGGGTAAGGTACCAAGTATCGGACTTTCTATCACCTTAGCAGATGTAGATTCCGTCTTTAATAGTTTTGGTGTTAAAGTGTCAACTTCAGGTTTATTTAACATCTTTGTAGAATCACGGCTATCACTACGAATAAGTGTTTTTGGAGATTTAGGTAAGGTAGCAAGTGTGGGACTTTTTATCACTTTAGCAGATGTTGATTCCGTCTTTAATGGTTTTGGTGTCGATGTGTCAACTTCTGGTGTATTTACCATCTTTGTAGAATCACGGCTATCACTACGGATAAGTGTTCTTGGAGATTTAGGTAACGTAGCAAGTATCGAACTTTTTATCACCTTAGCAGATGTAGATTCCTTCCTTAATAGTTTTGGTGTTAAGGTGTCAACTTCAGGTTTATTAACCATCTTTGTAGAATCACGGCTATCACTACGGATAAGTGTTCTAGGAGATTTGGGCAAGGTACCAAGTATCGGACTTTCTATCACCTTAGCAGATGTAGATTCCGTCTTTAATAGTTTTGGTGTTAAAGTGTCAACTTCAGGTTTATTTAACATCTTTGTAGAATCACGGCTATCACTACGAATAAGTGTTTTTGGAGATTTAGGTAAGGTAGCAAGTGTGGGACTTTTTATCACTTTAGCAGATGTTGATTCCGTCTTTAATGGTTTTGGTGTCGATGTGTCAACTTCAGGTGTATTTACCATCTTTGTAGAATCACGGCTATCACTACGGATAAGTGTTCTTGGAGATTTAGGTAAGGTAGCAAGTATCGAACTTTTTATCACCTTAGCAGATGTAGATTCCTTCCTTAATAGTTTAGGTGTTAAGGTGTCAACTTCAGGTTTATTAACTATCTTTGTAGAATCACGGCTATCACTACGGATAAGTGTTCTAGGAGATTTGGGTAAGGTACCAAGTATCGAACTTTCTATCACCTTAGCAGATGTAGATTCGTTCCTTAATAGTTTTTGTGTTAAAGTGTCAACTTCAGGTTTATTTACCATCTTTGTAGAATCACGGCTATCACTACGGATAAGTGTTTGTGGAGATTTAGGTAAGGTAGCAAGTGTGGGACTTTTTATCACTTTAGCAGATGTAGATTCCGTCTTTAATGGTTCTGGTGTTAAGGTGTCAACTTCAGGTTTATTTACCATCTTCGTAGAATCACGGCTATTACTACGGATAAGAGTTCTTGATGATTTAGGTAAGGTAGCAAGTATCGGACTTTTTATCACTTTAGCAGATGTAGATTCGTTCCTTAATAGTTTTGGTGTTAAAGTGTCAACTTCAGGTTTATTTACCATCTTTGTAGAATCACGGCTATCACTACGGATAAGTGTTCTTGGAGATTTAGGTAAGGTAGCAAGTGTCAGACTGTTAGAAACTATATTATTTAGAGCGTTTTCCATACTATCCTGTGTTTCCTCCAAACGAAGTTTAGGACTAGCTTGACTTATTTTTATCGGAAGTCTACTAGGCTTTGGTGTAGACAGTTTTAAAGTCTCTGTACTCGTAATAGGCTTATCACTTACAGGTTCCGGTATTACAGATGAAGGCGGTACCGTAAGGTCTGTAAATTCTGATTCTGGTTCCCCTTTTTTAGGCGAGTCGTTTATTTGGTAATTTTCGCGAGATATTTCAGTTTCTTTTTCAGAAATATCTATGTTTTTTGTGGGGTCTATTTCTTTGTTCAAAGATAAGGAATCTTTATTAATATTTAATGGTAAGTCGTTCATGATATTATCTGAAACTGTTCCCTTAATTTGATCGTTCTTTACTAAATGCTGCTCTTTTACTTCAGATGGCAATGTTACCGTTTCTTTTGTCAACGCTTTTGGTTTAATTGACAATTCTGGTATATTTTGGGTAGAGGTATCCTTAATCAATGAAGTTTTGTCATTCGTCAGATTTTCGCCAAGGTCTTCATTTATCTTATTAGAAATAGACGAATCTTCTGTCTCTTTTACTTGATCGCTTTCTATTCCACATAATATGTCTTTTCCTTTTAGAGTATTTTTTAAAGAAATTGGTTTAGATTGACTTCCTACGATTCCAAAACATGATGAACTTATTGTTGTTTCGGGACCTTTTCTAATAGATGAATTTGGTAAATTATTTGTGTATTGCTCAATTTTCGAGTTTCCCACGTGTAGTTTTTCGTTTATACTGCTTGTTATATTTTCAGAGACCAATTTATCTTTTAAAGGGTTTATCTCTGGTGCCAGTGACGTGACTATTGCTGGAAAAGGTATAATTTCAATATTTTCAGAAGCATCACTATTGTCATCCATGTGAGGAGTGTTCATCGGGAATTCTTTATCTTTTACGATGTTCAAGGTTTCAAAATCACTTTTATTCTCCTGATTCTTAGTAATTATAGGAATGTGTTCTTTTAGCGACAACATACTGGAAATTGAAGTTGATTTAAATTGTTCTTTTATATCCAAGCCAGCTGCTTTAATATTAGTAACCGAATCTGTCATCAGTGTATTCGCATCTACAAACTCTTCTGGGCTTTTTTCACTTTCTCGTATCAAAATGTTGGTATGGCATCTTCCTTCGTCTTGATTTTTATCTTTTGGCACTACAGAAGTCGAGAAAATTGGCTCAACATTATCGATTTTATCCATCCTACCATGTT